TTGTTTATTTGTTGTTTTTATGCTCCATGGTACTTGCAATGCCACAATCCTATTAAATCCCCGTACCTCGATATAACAGCTCTACATCAAATGACTCTGTATAAAAATGTTTGCCAAGTAAAAGAAGCTGTAGATAAAGTCATTGATTCAATATTAAAACACTCTTGGTACTCAACTTTGATACTTCATTTGCTTCTAGATTTTAAAGTTCCTTATGAAGATAAAACACTTATCGCCAAATCAATTATATCATACAAAATACCATCTTTAAAGGCATTTGATTACAAAATTGAAAATATGTCAAAAATGGTTTTCAAAGAGATAATCAACCTAGATAGCATTACAGATACAGCAACACAGTAATCCACCAAATTCTGCGGTGTTATGCAGTAAATGAGTTTACAGAAAACAGAATACGCAATTGGCTGTCACTTCGACCAACTTTCTGGCACATTCAATCATATTACAACCAGTTTATACAAAATCTTATACAAAATCTTTGATTATAGTAAATGATCAAGCAGAAAGAAATGTAGGCATGATGCAGGAGTTTATCCATAAATACATTATTGAAGATGAAAAACAAATGAGACTGGTAACCATAGACAAAGTTCGTTATGCCATGAAAAAACCTGAAAAAAGCTCCAGCAAGATGACAAAAACGAATATGGAAATAGGTTTAAATAACATTAATAATTTCAAGAAACTCAAAAGTGATTAGAAAACTGTTTTTTTTTTCTTTTGTAGAATTTTTTGTAAGATAAATAGAAATTCTAGTTTTATTCATAATTAGCATGAGTAACTTAAAAATTGGTTTTGGCGTAAAAACTTGAATCACTTTTTAATTAGTAATTAGGACCCGAGGGTAGGTAAGAGTGAGGGGAGAGGTAAGGCAAATACTAATTGAAGTAACAAGCAACTAACATTATTATCAACCAAAAAATATTTTTATTACACATAGTTGTCAACAACGGGGAAGGAGGGGGTAGGGACTTGCCTCTTCCCCTTTTATTTTTCAAGGACCTTTTTTTAATATATATAACTGAAAAATGCCCCCCCTTAACTTTAGAGGCCGACTCAATGGTCCTGTTATATTAGAAAAAATGTATTTGTATATTCCAAATGCTTTCTCAGTAACACATCAAACTCACTAATTTTGTGAATTTATGGGTTATTTTAATAAAAAATGCTCGGTAATAAAACTAAAACAAATATACGTATGATTTAAAATGCAAAATATATGTAGTCTAGCCCTTCTGTCTTTAATTCAGCCTACTTGGTCTAAATTAGACCCTCCCTCAACATCACTAAAAACAGCAACTTTTGACAAAAAATTGACATTTTTTTCACAAAAATGAGCCTTGAGGGAGGGTCTAAAGTTGTCAGAAAACGCCCAATATGCTTAAAAACCTATTTTCTATACATTTGCACCAAATTTAACGAGATACGTATTTTTTTTTTGAAAATTCTCTCATTCTGAATCATTCTAATATATATATATATATATATATATATATATATATATATATATATATATATATATATATATATATATATATATATATATATATATATATATATATATATATATATATATATATAATACATATATACATATACAAATATATATACATACACATATATTATATATATAATATATTATAATATCTATAATTATATACATGTATATATATTATATATAATATATATATATATATATATATATATTATATATATTATATACATATATATATATAATATATATATATATATATATATATATATATATATATATATATATATATATATATATGTAATATATTATAATATCTATAATTATATACATACATATATATACATATATGTAGACTACACGGGTAAAACCACAGATGTCACATTTTTCTCATTTTGAAAAAATGAAATTTAGTGTTTAGTGACATTAGATATCTGTTTATTAATAATTTATTTAATTAAAAGTATATTTTTCTGACATTTTAGTCCTTATACAATATAAAAACGCAGTTTTTGTGCTAAATACAAGTATTATTTATTCACAATGTTCTTTTGAAAACAAGACATTCATTTTGGACATCTGTGGATTTTCCGTTGTAAACTCATAAACTCATAAATTACATTAGCTTGTAACCTTTTAGAGCACTTATTTTTTTTAAGGTAGATGGTAATACATTGTTATTTACAACTACAATGTACTAAGTGTGTGATGGGATAATAAAGCCCCTCCCCCCCCCCCCCCCCCCCTCTTTTAATAAAAAAAATTTGAACAAAATATTATATGAAAGTTTTTTTTTAACTTTATACAAAATAGCATTGCAACCTTATCTCTTCCTCAACCTCATCTATTTACCACAGATGATTTCATGATGTCTGTGTTCCATCACTTTATATCAAGTTTGTATAAACCATAAAAATACCAATTGAGAACGCAACGTTAATAAAAATGTTTTGTTTTTAATTTCAAAGAAAAATAAAATAAATTAAAAAAAAAAGATCAAATAATGTCTTATTTTGTCTATTCAGATAATATTTAGCATTAGTAAGTCTTTAAAATTTTAACAAAAAAAGGCAACTGAGCTATGTATGCTTGTTTCAGTTTATTATATGTTTAGATCATTGATCTAAACATATGGGATGTAACATACATAAAATTAAATATTTCCATTTTTCCATATAACTAAACTTTAACTTTATTATAATATTTCATAACCTTTAATATTTCAATTTCTCTAAGTGAACATGTCTTAAATGAACAAACAACCAAGAAGTTTGGCTTTGAAACTCTGCAAATTTCAGAAATTTTTCTTGTATCATGTTTATATACAATATTGAATTGTTATGGTTTTTGTGAGATCGTCTAGTGTTTCTGCAAGAAACTTTTGATTTGCAATAGCCAATGTTTCTGTCACATTTTTTAGAGGCGTAATGCCTATATACAATGTGACAGAATTCTAATTGGTAATAAAACAGTAATGCTGTCTAGTTTTTCAGTTTTAAAAACTGATAATAAAACTAAATTAAAACTTTTCATTTTGTATTTTGCCTAGCACATAAGTTGCAAATCACTTTGATATCCTTTACACTTGAGACAATTGATAATTTAAAATCATGCAGCATAGAACATATAACATTAGACCATCTGTTTCTATCAGTTTCAACATAGCAATAAAAATATAATTTATGAATTGAAAGTATATTAGTTAAAACAGGTATTGCCAGGAATAGTATACATACTGGTTTCAAACGTTTAGACATTTTTCTTTTTCTTTTGAAATCTATGCAAATTACTTCAAAATTAAAAAGATCAGAAACAGAATATTATTGAGTCCATTTTCTACTTTTTTAGAATACAAAAGGTACACTTTATGAATTAAAATAAAAGTTGAAATATTTCAAGAGAAAATTTTTGTCATGATAAAAAAAAACTTGCTAATAGTTATTAATATTGATACTACTAAATATGAGAATGATTGTGATAGATTTAAAGGGCGCAACTTTATTAGGAAAATTACCGGTACCCTAATATTTTGGAGAAAAAATTAGGTCAACCTGGTACTTAAAAGAAGCGAAATTTTATAAAAAATTTTTTATAAAATTCATATTGCCAAAAAAAAATTGTTATTAAAAAACATGTAAAAATGCATCTTTTTCACTTTTAGTTAAAAAACTATAGTTATTATGCAATAAAATCTAAAATAATAATTTTTATATGAAAAAATAATTATTTTTGAAATTTTTATAAAATTTTGCTTTATTTGAGTACCTACATCACATAATTTTAAAAAACTTTTTTTTTGAATAATAATAGGGCCTGTTAATTTTTGTAATTGCAGTTGCGGGTGGAAGACATTGTTCAATCCATAAAAGTAAATACTTTCCTAAATTAGTATATAAAAAAACAACTTTCTAGACCATAGCCAGGTTAGCAACTCTAAAAAAAGATTTTATGACCCACCCTAATATATATATATATATATATATATATATATATATATATATATATATATATATAGTGTTTTTTTTAAATGTTTTTCTGCGAACGTAATGTTGTTTACTTCATCCGAAAAGTTAGTCATGTGACTTACACTTTTAATAATCATTGGTTTAGTTAAAAATAACTTAAACAACTGTGTTTTTTACGCGATAAACATTGGACAACAGTGGTTGTTTCAAAGTTGCCCTTTTTTTTAAATGACCATAGAACCTTAAAACATATTTTTTTGTTATGAATTTTTTAATTAAAATAGCTTAATACTAAAATATCATAAAAATATATAAAACTTGAAATTTTCAAAAAGTGGACATCTGTGGTTTTACCTGTGTGGTCTTCATATTATATATATATATATATATATATATATATATATATATATATATATATATATATATATATATATATATATATATATATATATACATATATATATATATATATATATATATATATATATATATATATATATATATATATATATATATATATACTATATATATATATATATATATATATATATATATATATATATATATATATATATATATATATATATATATATATATATATATGTGTGTGTGTATATATATATATATATATATATATATATATATATATATATATATATATATATATATATTTAAACAACTTAAAATGTATTCTACAAAAAGAGTGCTCAATGTTCTTAAGAGAACAGAGCAATTACAAATTAGTAGAAAATTCATCAATAAAGACTTATCAACAAATACTTATCACAAATCTTATCAAAATTTAAATTAATTATTGGACTAGCTCATAAGAGTTAGGGAATTACATGGCAGTTACACAATTGTAAATGCCATGTAGAGGATGTTTGCAAGTGGAATAATCTGGACAAGTTTTTCGAATTAAAAGTCAGAAAGAATATACTAATATAATATCAAGTTATTTAAAGTCAAAAGGCTTATATTATATTAGTTAAAGTAACCACTTTATTTTAAATGAAACTCACTTCAGAACATCTTCCTTGTCTTAAATATAAATAATCGTCTGGCTTGTTTACTAATTTTGCTTCCTTTAAAACAGCTTCTGGTGATCCACTTAAAAACTAAAATGATAAAATGATTATAAAACAAAATAAAAATAAAATTACAAATGTTTATTATAAATTAAATTTTAAAAAACAATCAAAATACATTGAGAGTAAAAAAAAAAAAAAAAAAGTTAATTTTAAGCTAACCTTTTTATAAGGCTAACCTTTTTATAAAGCAAAAATCTTAAACTTTAAAAAAGTTTGAAAAACGATTTACATGGAAAAAAATTTGTTTGATAACTAGCTCTAGAAAAATTAAAGATCTAAATATATATAATTTAAATTTAAAAATTATTCATGTTAGTAATTTAGATATCAACAGCATTGTACCATTAAAAATCTAAAACAACTTGAGATCAGCTTGATGATCATCATATTCAACCTGTTAATGGAAACATGTATAACCTATGCCCTTCTGCTTTGTAGGATTAACTATTTAAGGCAATAAATACCATATATCAGCTTGGCAGATAACTGGCTACTACCTTGAAGAAGGCCCCCTAGTCACAGACCTAAAGGGTAAGCAGAAAAGTTCAATTAACCAGCCTCACATTTCATCTTTAACAATAAGGCTGGCAAAAATGTAAACCTGTGTTACATTATTTCCTACCTAAGATGAAGAATATTGGATCTTCTTAATTTTTTGTTTTTGCTTGTGCTACCTTGTCATACAACTTTCCTGTTATCTTCTAATGAGGGTACAGCTCTAGAGGCCAGATGATAGTAAGGTTTCCTGAACTCTGAAGTAACTCTTAAAGAGGTCAACTCCATTAAAACCCTCTCTCAACTCTATAACTCTGTTACATGAACCTTGACAAACAAGGCCATTGCATGGAGAAACAAGTTAAGCACTGTACTACCATGGGCGTGGTGGGGATCAAACTTGGAACTTCTCACTTATAAGGCAAGCGCTCTACCACTACACCACTGCCAGATTATTTGTGAATGCCCTATACCACTACCACATTATTTGTAAATGCCTTCTTAAAAAAAAGCTTTAAACAATTGCTATTTTTATTAATAATACCAAATGTTAATAAAATGCAATAAAAATAAATTATTAAAAATAAAAGTAAAAGTTAATACCTGATAAAAAGAATGAAAGTTTCTTTCGCCAACTTGTTGATGGACAACACGTGCCTAAATTTTATAACTTTATTTTAAGTTTGTAGCTTTAATTTCTAAACGTTACTGATATTTTTGTAAGCTAGGCCCTAAGGTACATATGACCAGAAGCTTTTTTTTTTTTTTGCATCCTGGAGTAATGACCATGTAATGAACCAAACCTCCTCAAATTGTGAGGGTTGTAAATTTTGCATGGTCATTATTTCTAAACACCAAGAGTTTTGTTGATGGCATTTGAAATATATAAAAGAGCTTTGGTCTATTAAAAAATAACATATTTCTTTTTACAAAAATAATATATTTCTTGATGGGGGTCAAGAGGGAAAATTTATTGGGGTAATTTTTTCCCCAAGTTCTGATTGCCATAATTTTTTGTAAACCATCTTCATTTGATATCGTCATAAAGATATAAAAGTTTTGAGTTTATTCCATGTTTGGAGTCAATCATTTCAAACACCAAAAATCCAAAATCCACCTGTTAAAATGCAAAAGTCTGGCTCAGACAACATTCACATTATTTAGCAAATGTGGATATGATGGGAGCTTGGTCACAGCACTTATAAACAGAGATTCACAAATTTCTATTACAGAAACACGTGCCGAAATTAACCTACCATACTTGATATGCCATACTTGATAAAACTACTGAACGCCTAATTTAAGTTCTTAAAAATTATACTTTTACTACGACATTCACATTAATTAGCAAATGGGGATATGATCGGAGCTTGGTCACACCACTTATAAACAGAGATTCACAAACTCTGATGCTACTAATGAGTTTCTGTTTGTATTTTCATTTGTTCCATTGAGAATGAGTGCCAAAATATTATTTGGCAATATTGGTGACCTTCATCCAAACAGAAATAGAGAAAAATAAAGAATATTAAACAAAACAAAGAATATTGAACAAAACTAAAACAAGCCAATAAATACATAAAGCCAGTCCTGCATCAATAAATACATAAAGACAGTCCTGCATCAATAAGTACATAAAGCCAAACCTGCATCAATAAATACATAAATGTGCAACATTTTATTGATACAGTTAACTAATACAAAAGTTATAACTTACCTTTTCTAGTAGGTAATTGCTAATGTGCCCTCCAATCGGATCACCTTTAAAATCAAAATCAATGTCCATATACTTTCCAAACCTACTTGAGTTATCATTTCTATTAGTTTTTGCATTACCAAATGATTCTAAGATAATGGTAGACTGTATTAGCACAGTTTTTGTACTAAAAAATAAAGTTTGAAAAATGAACTTTTTTATTTGTCTATTAACAGCAAAAAAGCATGAAAATATGTATATTAACTGACCTTTAAAAAATAATTATTGTTACATGCAGTAGAAAATTATTTATAAAGATAAAGATATATGTATTTTGCTTTAGTTTTACATTTCTAAAAACTTACACCACACAAATGTCAAATCCCTTTTCACTTTTATTGTCCCTTACCCCTTCCCCACAAACAATCTTAATCATTAAAGTTCAATATAAATGTTAGTTTTTACATCAAAATTTGTAATGTTCAAAAATATAGGATAGAAAGATTAAAAAACTTTTTTTGTTAAAACTTCAGACAAGGATACTAAACATGTTTCATATACAAACATACTTCATACATAAACATGTTTCATACATAAATATGTTTCATATATAAACATGTTTCATACATAAACATGTTTCATATATAAACACGCTTCATACATAAATATGTTTCATATATAAACATGTTTCATATAAAATATGTTTCATATATAAATATGTTTCATATATAAACATGATGTATTAAACCAACATGTGTTGAGTCAAAATCAAAGATTTTCAGTTAACAAAAGCCGCAAAAACTCTGCTTAAGCACAGACTACACACAGTTATACATAATAGAGACATGTGTGGTCTTATTAGATATTTTAAAAAATAATGAAGCAATTTTGAAAATTGCTTCATTATTCTATCAATGTTTATCGAAGTCATGATATGATTATCTTTAAAATGATTTTTAAATAAAATAATTTTTAAAATTAAACTAATAAAAAACAATCTAAATTATCTAAACTCTAAAAAAAAAAAAAAAACATAAAACTTTAATACCAAGTTTATACTTTAATATACTGAGTTAAAATTTGTTTTGTTTTTTTGTTTTAGTTGCCTTAAGAAGACCTTGTAGTCTTGTCACAAAGAGATGTGGAAGACCATTTAATTAGGAAGCTCCTTTTTCTTACCAATGATGTGAAATATGTCTAAAACTAGTTTTGAACCCTTGCTTTCTTGCTTCTAAAGCAAGCATTCTAACCATTGTAATAATTGCTAATGAAAAAATAGCAAATGCAAATTTTTTTCATTCAAATTCATTCAAAAGTATAAAAAAAAATAAATAGAGACTTAAGTTTTGTGTGATTATGCAGGACTTTAGCAGGGTTCAAAAGGTTGTGTGCTTGGTTTTTTAAAAGTTTTCCAAACTTTAACAATAAGAGTTTCTCTATCATAAATCTATAAATATTTAGTTGAAAAATGTTTAAAATTAAAACTAACTTTTCAATATCTGACTGTTTACTAGGATTAGTCACAGCTGCGATATATTTCATTATAATCTTTGATGCTTCAGTTTTTCCTGATCCACTTTCACCTAAAAATAATATATGTGCATTAAAAATTTTATAGCAACATTTCTAATTTTGTTCTTTTATAAAACTAATAATAATATTTTATTAAGTAATGTGTCATATGTTAGTAATGTGTCATATGTAGCTAAATTATTTTCTTGTAAACTTACAGCTGTAAGCATGAAAATTAAAAAATTATTTGTATTTTCATTATTACTCTCCTTCTGTATAATATAGAAAGAATAATTTTTTATGTGTGAATAAACAAGAGATTTTTGTAATTTTTACAGGGAAAGTATTATAATATATTCTTTATTTATTTGTGTACGCTCAATGGTAAAAGTCTTCTTTAAACCTTTCAAAGTGGGCCAAGGATGTCATTGTACACCAACAAAACGCAGCATTATTTTGAAGCACCATAGAGAGGGTAAATCTTACTCATATATACAAAATATTCTTGGATGCTCAGCAAAGATGATTTTAAATGCCATAAATTATAAAGCAAAAGTTAAAAAATGAGGTGGAAAAGGTAAGACTACCACCAAAGAATTGTAAGATATGTTAAAAGCAAACTATTTTCATCAACCAGGCGAGTCCAAGATGATCTTGAATTACAAGTGAGTGACACTGCTCATAGACGCTTAAGAGAGAGCAATTGTTCATAGATGCTTAAGAGAGAACAGCTTATATGCATAAAAAGATTCCTTTGTTGACAAAAAAAACACATAACTAAATGTTTGCAGTTTGCAAACCAACATCTGAATTGGCCCCTCAAAAAGTGGCGCAACATATTATGGACCAATAAATCAAAAATCATTCTTTATGGAGGTACAGGTTCAAGACAATATGTAAGATATCCAGCTAATACAGAATTCCTACATTAAAATATTACATTAAGTGTGTGAAACATGGTGGAGCCAAAGTCATGGTATGGGACTGCTTCTCGTATAATGGTGTCAGCCCTATTTATAAGAATAATAGTATCATGGACCAACATATATATGTTGACATCCTCAATAATGTCATGCTGCTCTATGCTGCCGAAGATATGCCGCTAAAATGGGTCTTCCAACAGGACAACAACCCGAAACACACTAGTCACAAGGCAAAGGTGTGGTTTCAGGTTGAGGTTATGGAGTGGCCTGCTCAGTCACCTGACCTAAACCCCATTGAAAACTGTTGGACTTAAACTCCATGACCTAAAGCCCATTGAAAACTTATAACTTTTATAATCCAACTAATGCTCAGCAGTCATGGATAGCTATTCAACAAGCATGGTACACAACACTCGCAGAAAAATGTCAATGCCTTCTTGACTCATTGCATCGACGTTGTAAGCCATTATCTAAAACAAAGGTTTTGCAACAAAATACTATGTCCAGATGTTATCCATTTCTGTTGGACTGGTTGAATACCTTTGAAGGGTAAATATTATTATATTATATTATACTTATTCTTAACTTTTAATGTTAAAAAATTGACTTTTTTAATGTTTAACTCTAGAAAAATTATCACTTTTCTCCATTTTCAGATACCACTGCTATTTCAATGACTGCAACCTTTTTTAATTTTATTGTTTTGTTTGTGAAATAAAATGTAAAACTACTATTGATGTGATTTTTTTTATTCTATTAGATTTAAATGTTAAAATAAATATAATAAAACTTTTTTAAAAAATTTGTAAAACTGCTATTGATGCGATTTTTTTTTATTATATTAGATTTAAATGTCAAAATAAATATAATAAAATTTTTTAAGTGATTTTTATTGAAAAAAAAATTGTCAATATCATTCAAAAAATTCCAAAAAAAAAGGTACTGCTATTTTCATGCTCACAGCTGTATGTTGTCATAGTAAACTTTTATAAACTAATTACAAACTAAGTGAGAAAAGTTTACACAAAAAAAAAAAGTTCAAAGGAAAAAAAAATTCAAAAAAAAAAAACCCGACAGAAAATCTTATTTATAAAACTTTCATTTTTAAATTTCAACACACCATAAAAACAAGAAATGAATTGTCACCTGAAATAACAATGCAAGTATCTTGAAATTTTCTTTGCATCATTTTATATGCAGCGTCAGCTATTGCAAAAATATGAGGAGGTCTCTCAAAAATTTCCCTTCCTTTATACTCAGATATAACATCCTTGTTATAAATATCAAGTGTTTTGTAAGGATTTAAAGAAATAACAACTTCTCCAATATATGAATATATTCTTTCTTTTTCAAATCGTATCTTAAGATTTGACATAAAATCTTCCATTGTCACTTGATTTAAAAGTACAAAGTCTCCTTTACCAAATTCTGCTGCCTCAAACACCATTTTTGATAAGTACTATATTTCAAAAGTTATAATATTTTTGAATCATATATTTTTTTATAAATGTATAACAAATATATATATTATATATACATACACTTACTTTTGCAGATTTCTTAGGTTTGTGGATTTAAGTTTTAAAATGCTGACTTAAATCTAGACAGTTTTTTTTTTTTTTTTTTTTACAGAAAAAGAAGAATTTTTTGTAAAAATTGAAAAAACATACAAAAAAAGATCTACATCTTGGAAAAGTAAATCTTAAAAAAGTTAAAAAAATTTTTTTTTTCAATTAATTTTAAATTTTATACTGATACTTTTTTACAAGAAATGTATCAGTATAAAAGGACAGGTAACTTAGACAGAAGTATTAAGATTAATTATTGTCACCAAAAAAAAAAAAAAAAAAAAATTAGAAAAATAAAAATTTCACATTTGTATATTTCCATTTTTTGAGTTTTGAAAAAGTTTATTAATTTAACACTACGCTTTAAAATCAGATGTTTACTGTATCTAATTACTCTCTTAAAGAAGACCTCCTCGGTAGAAACTTTTAAGTACGCAGAAAAACTCTGTTGACCAGCCTCACACCTCATCTTTATAAGATTGGTGTAAATGTATAGCTTGATCTTTATGACTCTATTCATAGCAGTGACGTAAAAAGGATTTTCGGTGTTTGAGATAGGTAACTTCCAGATATGGTACAAACTCCAAACATTTATATCTTTATACTTACGTAAAATAAGGATACTTTGCAAAAAATTGTGATGATTGGACCTGGGAACAAAAAAACTATAAAACATTTGCCCCCTCAAACCATCTTCACTTCTGTGTTGTTTCTAATCTATATTAATGATCTTACCCCTAAAATTGCTCTATTTGCTAAATAATCTTACCCCTAAATTATTTAATCTAAATTATTTAACACTAGCCTATTAATTCCCAATAATCTTACCCCTAAAGTTGCTCTATTTGCTAGATGACCAGTCAAAAATGTTATCAGATTTTAATTGCTTAGAAAAAGAAGCTGTGCATGTGATATCTCTTCTAAAAACGATGGTGCTCCCGGGTTTTTTTTTCTTACTCATCACTCCATTCTATAGCTCTATAATTCTCTTATTCATCCTTGTATGGAATACTGTCATTATACTTAGGGTACTTCTTCTTTTAATTAAGCTCATTATCTTTCACACATATTCAAAAACAGATTGTAAATGTAGTTAGACTTGCTCCAGCTCTCAAGCTTGTTCTCTTGTATCTATTAATATCTTTATCTATTTTCTCTATAACTACTACCATGGTCACTGCTCAAGTGATGTAAATCTCTTACTTATCTTTTGTTCAATCCCAAATCCCAATCTTTTTATCATCCCAATGATTTATCATTCAGAAAATTTGCATCATTTTACTGTAACTGTTCTATCAAGTTCAAAAAACATTTATAAATCAGTTTTTTTTTTACATTAAACATAATACTTTAGAAGTCCTGTCTTCCAGTTTTCCAAACATATGCAGTTTACAGTTTTTAAAGTCTTCTTTTAACCATTTTCATGTTATTTAACTTTCTTTTTTTCTTTCTGCAAACTACCACTCTACATAATATCGATTGCAGCCTTTTTAAGAATTCTGTTTATTTAACATATAATTATTTTCATAATGTAGGACAAAAATATTTTTGTTATTGGTGAAATATTGCTGTTATTGGTGACTTTAATGATCATCACACTGAACTGCTTGGTTCTAGTACCACAGACCTTGCTGGTATTAAGCTTGAAACCTTTGCCACAGTTTCTTATAAAAATAGTTAACTTTGTGACTGGTTTTCAAAACAACTCTATTCATTTACCTTCAATTGATAGATTTCTTCACTTGATTTGTGTTTTATCCCTAGTTTGTGTTCAGTTTCTCCTTGATTTCCTTTAGGTGGTTAAAATCATGCTATGAAGTAAAACTTTTATCTCATATTTCTTCACATCAGATTCAGCTTATTATCACACTTCTTACTACTACATTAAGACAGATTGGGATCCATTTTAAGATTTTCTTTGTGATGATCCTTGGACTGTGTTTTGTCTCGGCTGAAAATTGTTATTTCTTTATTATCTCCTAGATATAGGAAGACATAGAAGACCGCCTAACCTACTCCACCCTATGATTTTTTCCTTCTTTTTTTTATCTTTTCCACAAAAGCTGAAACTAAAACTTCTTGTCAAATAAAAATAAGTCAATATCATTTTACTCTATGGTTTTCAGCTTCTTGTGCAGCTACTGTTTCTAATCAAAATTATTTTTTTTTAACTTTTTTACAAGAATGAGAATAAATGTCTTGAGAATAAATGTCTTTTTATTACTGCAATAATTGGATGCAAAAAGGTTTCCATTGTTTTAGACAAATTAATTTAAATCTAAATCTTGTATTCTCAAAAGTTTTTGACTTTTGGAAAATCTTTAACAGTGTCATTAGTAAAAGCAAGTGTAGCATTCTAGCTCTTATAAATGGATCTGATCTTATCACCTCTCCCAAGGATAAGGTAGAACTATTTCGCTAATTCATCTCTTGAAGGATATACTGTTAACATCCAAATCACTCTTGCTTCTAAAGATAAAGTTATTTCCGACTTAAACTCTTCTACAGCTTGTGGTCCAAACAAGACTCTATATATCTATGCATATATGTATGTATGTATGTATGAATGTATGTATGTATGTATGTATGTATGTATGTATGTATGTATGTATGTATGTATGTATGTATGTATGTATGTATGTATGTAATATATATATATATATATATATATATATATATATATATATATATATATATATATATATATATATATATATATATATATATATATATATGTGAGTGTGTGTGTGTGTGTGTGCGTGTGTGTGTGTGTATGTGTGTGTGTGTGTATATATATATATATATATATATATATATATATATATATATATATATATATATATATATATATATATGTATATATATATATATATATATATATATATATATATATATATATATATATTTGTGTGTGTGTGTGTGTATATATATATACGTTATTGAGAATGATATCAAATTCTCAAATTAAATTGAATTTTATAGAATCAAATTTAATTTAATAAACTTATAAACAGCCTTTTTATTTATTAATTTTCAATTTTCTCCATACATCTATAGACATAAATTTTAACAATTATAACTTGTATTAAAATCACTTATAGTAAATAAATTTAAATTGTAAATTAATAACTTAATTGTAATAATTAAAAAATATAATATAACTATAAAAATATAACTAAATAATTACAACAAATAAAATATAAACTTGAATTAGCATTATTATTAAACTTCTGTTGTATTTTATATAATAAAAGATATTATAGAAATAATAAAAAATAAGCAAACATACTGTTTTAATAAATACCAATAAGCTCAAAAACTTTTTATTTATCTTCTGCTGCAGTATATATTTGAATACATTATAATATAAATTATATTATTTAAAAAGATTCCTAATAATTTGTTATTTTAATTTTTTATTAGTAAAAAAAAAATAATAATTTGCACTTCAATTGCAATTTTTTTTTTTTTTTGTTTTTTGTTTTTGTTTGTTTTGTTTTGTAGTGTTTTGTCGTGTTTTGTTACTGTAACAGTTTAATGCAAATCCTCAATCTGGACTTAGGACCCTTATTCTGAACATCAAATTACGAGTTAGGTAAATCAAAATTAAGTGATATAAATAAATAGAATAAATTAAAGTACGTAAACAAATTAATTTAAAATTAAGTATGTTAAACAATGACGTCTAAAAACTAACGGGCTTTTTTATTTCGACTTTTTAAAATAAGCCATGGGCGTCTGTACTAACAACAAATCAATCGAGTGTTCGAGTGACGTCAAGATTTAAACGATTTTGTCAAGACGCCATGTTGCATGTCTAACAAATGCGTATAGCTTTAAGGAGCTTTAACGCAAAGCTAATTACTATTATAGTAGGTTAATTACAAATATATATGTTAACGTTCCTATATAAATTACAGTTAGAAAATTTATTTTTTTGAAAAAATTGATTTCTAAACACTGTCAAAAAAGGTAATTAACCTTAGCAACTAAGTAAACTACTTGTGTTTTACATTTTTAAAATCTTCTGTTATGTATTATAACACATTTGATTTGATTTTTTTGGAATTTGCTATATATAACTCATACACAGCGAACATATTTTGGTTACGTAAATGAGTTAATAAATTAATTTAATAATTTTAAATATTATGTATATAAATAGTATGCTGGATTTACTATTTAAACTTATTTTTATCTAAATGTAATCATACGAATTAATAAAAATTATAACGGACAACAAGCAAAACCACTAACTTAGAAGAAAGCGTCATTTTAAAGGAAATCAACATGCATACAAAAAACATAAACAAGTTGTTGAAGATATAAATGATTATATTTTTATTATAAACTTAAAATGGTTGAAAATTTATGTTTGTTTACGTGGACTTTTAATTTTGCTACATGAAGTTTACTGTACTGAAGTTAGGAACAGGAGAATTGTCCCGCTTTGCCGAGATAAAAACTTACTGTCTATAGAAAAATGAAACCTATCGCATGAAAAAAATTTCGCTTTTAAATTTGCAAAAAGTAAAAAAAAGTATAGCGAAAGAATCATTGAAAATCCTAATAAAAAATTGACTGCTATTCTTGCTTAATTTACAGCAGATTTTGCTCTTGCATTAACAAAAAAGATTTTTTAATATTTTTGTAACATATTCTTTAAAAAATTAAGTAAATATTTATATTTTTTTAATTTTATGATTTTGTGCTAAACATAAGGATTCACCCGGTGGGAAATCGGCTAGCGAATAGCTATAATCGTAACGATAAAGACAGCGAAAAGGCCACGAGGATCGCTAGCTTTTTTAAGTTAGCGAAAAGCTATCGTTATTTGTAAAGTTACATTTGGCTAAGAGGACAGCTAGCTTAATAAGCTAAAGACCCATGGCTATTGTAGCTATTTTGTAGCTAGCTACAAAGCTACGATATGTAGCTAGCGACACATAGCTACAAAATCGCAATGTTTAAAGTTCAATTATTCTCATAATTATAATAGACTCAACACTTAAAATCGAATTTTTAAAGATGTTAAAGACATTAGGAAAAAATAAAATAGAAAAAAAAAAATCGCTAGAAAATCGCTATAAAGCTAGCTAGTCGCTAGCTCATTTCCTACCGGGCATCATACTGCATTAAAATTAATGCAAGTTCTACCAAAAATCAAAATATTTTAATATTCAAAAATTATATTTTTAATATTTGCTTGAGTTATTTTTTTTATAATATTTGCTTGAGTAGAAAACTAAACAAATCAGCAAAATGTGAAGCACAATATTTAAAATGGCAGTGAAGTAAGAGAAATTGCTACATGCAACACTCAAGGTTTAAACTTCTTCCAGTGCACAATTGAAGATAAAAAAATTAAATTCTTGCAACCTATCGAAGATCTGCAAGTCAATATTATGTCAATAATAAAAAAAATCGTTTCACTTATGGAATTTTGAAAGAACAAAGAAAAACATTAAAACTTTAATGGAGGAGAATATTCCTCGATGTTTTCCGAAACTATTTCTACGATTAAGAAAATCGTAACTATTAAAATTTTGGACAAGATCTTCCTTTCACATAACAAGTTTATATTTTTAAAATTATTTACGATTAATAACTGCAATATTTATATACTTAATATATATATATATATATATATATATATATATATATATATATATATATATATATATATATATATATATATATATATATATATATATACATATATATACATAAATATATATATATATATATATATATATATATATATATATATATATATATATATATATATACATATATATATATATATATTTATAAATATATATATATATATATATATATATATATATATATACATATATATATATATATATATATATATATATATATATATATATATATATATATATATATATATACATATATATATATATATATATATGTATATATATATATATATATATATATATATATATATATATATATATATATATATATATATATATATATATATATTATGTATATATATATATATATATATATATATATATATATATATATATATATATATTTATATTTGATCACATGGGTAACGGTAGCATTTGGTTAATTTGGATAACGGGTGGTATTTGACAATGCTACCAGGTAGTAACCAACGGGCGGGTACCCGTGTACCTGTTACCATCCCGTTATCCATTTTTTGAATTTTTCTAACCATATTAACAATCATAATTTCTGGCTCATTGTGATAAAATTCAAAAATTGTTATAAAAAAGTTGCCACTTTTTCTATGGTTCGCAAGTTTCATAAAAAATTAAATTTTTTTTTTTTAAGTTTAACCATCTAAGCATAATAGTAGCATTTTCCTAACAATATTCTATGGGTCTCTAATAGCATATAATTCTAGTTCAGTTGCATCAATTCTTTATTATCAACCCATACCATTTTACTAATGATTTGTTTTTGTGTTTACGAATAACCTTTTCAATTCTAAATATCTTTTGATTCGTTTTTTGCAGTTCTTGTTCTTAAAAAGTACCTTGTATTTCTTCGTGATCGTCAGTTATTTTATACATTGTACATTACATTATACATTATACATTATACTATGTATTAAACTTGTGACACAGTAAATACTTCTTCAGTCCGTCTTGGTGTATATCTTCTTTCAAATGCTAATTTCTTTTTAGTTATTCTCACTTTATCACCGACTGAAAACTTTGGTTTAACTGGTTCAGGTCTTACTTTTCCATATAGATTCAACCAAACAGTAATCTCATTCTTTTTATTGCTAGGTTAAGCTGGAGTCATTTTAATTGAAGAGTGCTTTGTGTTGTTTTATTTATTTACCATTTCATCTAAAACATCAATGTATTTTCTAGTAGAATTTGCTGAAAAGTACTTAAACATTTACTCTTTCATTGTCTTATTTCAACGTTCAACTACACAACTTTTCTCTTCATTTTCAGTCGAATAGAGCTGAACACCTAACGCTTTAACATGCTTGTTATAAAATTCCAAGCCTTTAACTACCCACAGTTTATTACACAAGATTTTATTGAAAGCGTGAGCAACCTCAACTCCAGTTTTACTCTTCAATGGAACGATCCATTCATTATTTGAAAAAACATCTATCACCATCAATAAGTATTTTATACCGTCATTGAATTTAGGAAAAGATTGTCATCTAAGCCAGCAGCCTATATTTCATCAATCCCATTTGAAATCACTTTTCTTTTTCTGATATGTTTTAAAACGGGTTTATGAAGTTCATTTGCAAGTTCATCAGTCCATTTTGGATCACTGTGATCCATTGTTTCTATGTCTTTTGCTTTTTTACTGATCGCTGGTAGTTTTTTGAACCTTTAGCTTTCTTTTGCACACCTAAGCCAAACTTTGCTTTAGCAGATATGATAGGTTTTATAATACTTTGCTCAATTTTTTCACTCTGTGTAGGATTTGTTATAGCATCCATTTGTTCAATCATCATTGTATCAGCTACTTTTCTACTTGGAGTAAAATGTAAAATGTTTATAAACAAGATCATGAATATAAGCTGCATTGTCAACTCTATCTACAGGTTTAATTCATTCTTTATATGCATCAGTAGAAGTTAATTCTTCATCTAAATTAGTACCAGGTCCTGCAAAATTCATACCAGGTAGATGCGTTTCTCCTGGGAATTTTGCCCATGGTAATTTTATTTTACTTGTTACTGAGTTTAGTGAATTGACTAAATCACCTCCTTTTTTGCTCCTTTTACAAATTAAGTTTTTGTTGTACCACAAATAGCACAAGTTCCACGTAGCATATTTCTATTGTTTTTACTTACAACATGTTGTAAGTTTAGTGTATCTGTTTTGTTTCTACATTTAAGGCAGTACATTTTTATTTACTTACTATTTTTTTATTACATTTTAATTTAAATTATAAATCTCTGAAGTAGATTTTTAAAAAATTCTTTATATAAGAAAATGGAAGCAGTAGATTTATCATGTAATATAAATAGAAATAATCGTAATAATAATGACTTATTACCAAGAAGTATAAGAGGACTTATTGTAGGAAAGTCAGGTTGTGGAAAGACAAATCTATTATTAAATTTACTTAGAAGACCTGGTTGGTTAGACTATAATCATTCACAAGTTTTTGAAAAATCTCTATTTCAAAAAGAATATAAAATAATAGAAAGATGTTTTAAAGAAAAATTACCAAAAGAAGTGATTTTTAATATATTTTTGATGCAAAATGACATTGTAAAAGAAAATGCAGTGTTAGAGTATTTAATTAGCGATGTTTCAAAAAAACAAAAACAAAAAACAGATATGGAGTGTCAATTTTTTAAAACAGCAGATGATGTCATTGATGATGTCCCACAACCTGAAGATCTTGATCTTAATAAAAATAATTTAATGAAATTTGATAATTTAAAATTGACAAAGCAAAACAAGTGTGAAAAATACTATACAAAAGGAAGACATAGTAATGTTGATTGTTTCTATTTAGCACAAAATTATTTTCTGCTACCTAGAAGAACGATAAGAGAAAATGCAAATTTTATATGCTTGTTTAAACAAGATTCAAAAAATATAAATCATATTTATAATGATTATGTTTCAAATGATATGTCAAAAGAAGAGTTTAAAAATTTTTGTAAAAAAGTTTGGTCACAACCGCATAAATTTGTTGTTATTGATTTGTCATCAATTGAGAAAAAGGAAAATATAGAAGTTGTTTTGATTACTTTTATTTTCAATTATCTGTATTAACTAGTAAATGAAATGTATATTTGTATAAATATATATTTAAAATAGCCATCCTAATATTGGAATATTTTTAAGTGGTGAATTTTCACCTAATAATAAACCATTTCCTTCCGGTTCATATCTATTTCCTTTATAAAAGTAAAATCCATTTCCTACTGATTCTCCTTTTTTTTACTCCATGGAGTAACTAGTACTCCTCTTTCAGATTTTATAGCTTTATAAGCTCTTCCATTCTTTTTGATGTAAAGAATTTTCTAGCAATTTTATTTATTATAGTACTTCTAGCAGCTGCTGCTGTTCCTGCTAACAATCCTGTTGCAACAACAGGAACTACTTTTGAAGCGATAACACTCCCTATTAAGCCTAGTAAAGGTAAGAATCCTCCTTTTATATTTTTTTCATTTGTTTTCTTATACCCATTTCCATTATAAAAGTAAAATTCATTTCCTACATTTTTTCCTTTTTTCCACTCATTTATATAAATGCACGTCCAGATTTTCTAGCTTTATAAGCTCTTCGATTCTTTTTAAAGTAAAGAACACCATTTCCAGAAGTTTTCTTCACTATAGCAGTTCCTGCAGCAGCAGTAGCTCCTGCTAACAATCCTGTTGCTAGAACAGGTACTACTTTTGAAGCAATGAGGCTACCAATGGTTCCTAGTAAAAGTAAGAACCCTCCTTCCACTGCAATTTCTGAATTTTTAAGTTGTGATTTACTCAAAAGTACTATACTTTCACCTTTTCTATATGAATCCATCATTTTTTCAAATTGCACTTTTGTCACAGCGGGCTTATCTTTTCCATCATAATCTGAGTTTGATAGTACAATAATAGTACAGTCTCGAACCCCGGATAACTCGAACTTCTAGTAACTCGAACTACTTTTGAGTTCCCCTTGAACCCTCACTAAACTTTCACATAAAAACAACTCGATAACTCGAACATCCGTTAGCTTGAACACTCGTTAAGTCGAACAATTTTATCTATTCTAATGGTTATAAAATAAAATTAAAAAGGCTAAAATTTTTTCGATAACTCGAACTTTAGAACGAAAATATAAAAAAAAACGCAATGAAGCTTTGCATTGCAATGTAAACTATAATAACAGTTTGATAGTTTTAGTTTATTGTGTAAGTTATACCAACGTACAATGCAATATTATATTAAAATTTGTTGTGTTTACATTTTATAATGGTTACTGTCGCTGTAAAGAGAAAAATGAACACAACAACAATTAAAGAAATGTACTTTGCTTAAAGGGATATTGGTGAAGGATTGTCAGAATTCTCAGGTTACAATGAAATATGGTATTTCAAAAAATACGCTGTCAAAATGGATCAAAAATAAAGAAAAACTTTTCGATTATACTTTTATAATTTGATAAGTCAAATTGTTTTTACTTAACGGCAAAAGTTCGTGTAATAGAATGTGCCGATAACTCGAACATTCTCTAACTCGAACTATTTTCTAGATCCCTTGGAGGTTCGAGATATCTGGAGTTCACTGTATTACCATTTTCAGATTTTATTTTACTTTTTGAATCATTGACATAAATTTTATGACAGCGCGTCATTTTTACTTATGTAATATTTTTTTTAAATTGTTTTTTTTTTTATAGTTTTGATTAATTCTTTAAGAAGGTCGATGTGTCTTTTTGAAGCGTTTCTTGCTCACATTTAGAAGTCTTTCTCTTATGTGAAATTTCATTGTTATTCTTTCTCCTTGTAAATCAATAAGATGACCATCTTGATCAATAAATGTCGTTTCCATTTTACAAATGTTTCTTTTTACAGTTAAGGGTAAGTAAATGGGGACATTTGGTTTTTCTATAAGTTTAGCTCCAGGAGCTACAGCCGGGTAAAATGTATAAATGATATTGCTAGATGAATTATCTAAATAAGATCCTGTTATAATATTATTTGTTACATGTATAGTATTAATATGATTTATATCTATATTTTTTTCAGACTCATGAGAACCAGCAGTATATAGTTTACTTTGAAAACCTAAAAGACTTCTAATGGAATTTTCAATTCTAAAATCAACTGCACAATTTGTTGCAATATACATTACCACTTTAAATGTTATTTTATCTGGTGTAAAAGTAATTGAATTCATAGGATAATTATTTTATCTGGTGTAAAAGTAATTGAAGTCATAGAATAATTATTTTATCTGGTGTAAAAGTAATTGAATTCGTAGGATAATTATTTTATCTGCTATAAAAGTAATTGAATTCATAAAATAATTATTTTATCTGCTGTAAAAGTAATTGAACTCATAGAATATGTAGAATCTTTTAACTCTTTTTGCAACCATCCATTGATATCAGTAACTTCATAGGTCCCTTGTTTTATACCTAAAAGACTTCTAATGGAATTTTCAATTGTAAAATCAACTGCACAATTTGTTGCAATATACATTACCACTTTAAATGTTATTTTACCTGATGTAAAATGATAATTATTTTAATATGGTGTGATAGGATAATTATCTTATCTGCTGTAAAAGTAATTGAATTCATAAAATAATTATTTTATCTGGTGTAAAAGTAATTGAATTCATAGGATAATTACCCAGACAGCAAGCTTACATTGGCCCAACGTTGGGCCAATGTATGATGATGTATTGGCCCAATGTTGAAAGTTGATGTTGGCCCAATGCAGGTTTGATCATTGGTTAGGTATTGGCCCAATGTTGTGTACAACATTGGCCCAATGTTGTATACAACGTTTACCCAATATTGGCCCAACGTTGTATGTAACGTTAGGCCAACGTTGTATACAACATTGGCCCAACGTTGTATACAAAATTGGCCTAATGCTGTATACAACATTGGCCCAATATCGTATGTTATATATCGGCCTAACGTTTTATGCAACATTAGATCGTTGTTACAGATAAGATGATTCGCATCACTACATTGAAAATTTATAGAGAAAAAAGAGAATGTATGATACAAGTATAAAAATTTATTTAACATAATTTCTCGGTTAATTATACATATTGCTAACACCAAACTTAAACTAAAAACTGACACATTGAGTTTTAAATAAAAACATTCACTATAAAATTTATAGAGTAGTTTCGATATTGGCTGAGCTACTTGTTATTGAATCGTGTTTAGCTTATGATATTTGGTGCCCACAATTATTATTTTTTCTTCCGCTATCTCTATTACATGTCTGCATAAGCTACGCTTATTTCACTTTACAGTTTCTGCAAAAAAAATAGTCATTGTTTAATTATGCACCAAAGAAACATAAAAAATTGAAAGTAATTCTGTAATGCAAAATTAAAACTGAAAAAATAAACATTTCTAAACCACTTACCAATAGCAGCTTATGCAATCAACATTTTTGCTATTCCAATTTTTTGTCTTCTCCCTGCATAGTTTAATTTTACAGCTAGGCCATCTTAAAAAACTATTCTTAGTAAATAACATATATACAATCTCCTTCGTCTTTAACTCTAATTTGTGCCAAATAATTAACCTGCAAAAATACACAACCTGGCAATAATTAAAGTAACTTTTGTTTAGACTTAAATAATTATAAAATGTCATTTACAAAAAATCTTAAAAGAGTATTTTATTTAAAGTATATAAGTTATACTAAGATATCATACAAAATGCATAAACAGATCATGAAATAATATTTACCATTTAATTAAGTATTTTCTTGCCTTTTTCCTTTCAGAACATTTGAATTCTTTGCTTTTTTTAATGGCAATAATACTCTTTCAATACAATAATTAGCATACCTTTGTTACTCAAATTTTTATAACTGAATTTGATGTGTTTTGTAGTTCACAAAGTTGCACTTCAATGCTTGCCCATTGTGCCAATAATACCAGCATATCTTTCAAGGATACAACTTTATCTTGAAACAATAAAGTTAATTATATTATTAAGAAACTATACAACTAATTACATATTTTACTTAGAATTTATGAAAGTAAATATAACAATCACTAATAAAACAGATAAAATTAAAGACAGAGCGGCAAATTTTTTATGATAAAAATATATACTTGTTAATGGATTCATAATATTTTTATGAATTACGAAATTTGCAGGTGTACATTCAATTTCTGGCACTGACACAAAACAATTCTCATTAATGTTTGAGATACAGATTGCACTGTAAAACAAAAAAATTCATAGTAAAACAATGTTTTTTCAACAGGGTTTGTAGCCAACTATTTATATAAAATTCAATGACTTTTTTAAAAAATCAGATGAATTTCCCTGACCATTTTTAACAATGGTTTTTACAAAATATTTAAAATTACTATCTACTGTAATGGAAATGCTAAGATTGTACATGCTTTGAATGACAAAACTTATAAAACTTAGCTATTAGTTAAGTTGGATATTACTATGGATCTTATTATACATGTTAGTATGGACCTTATTATTAAGGATGATTAAGAATGATCACTAAGAAAAACATAAGTTTCAGAAAAATAAATGGCTAGCACCAAAAAAAACATAATAGCATAATTGAGAGCTGTATTTTGAAAATTTGACCAGCGTTTGAAATTATTTTTCAAAGTTTGCTGATCAAATGTAATTTTTTACAAAAACAGGTTATTTTCCCTAGAATTTTTTAAATTTTTTCTTAAAATAGCCAATCATTAATGTTGATCGGCCATTATTTTGAGCGCTGTGTGACAAGTCACAAAATTAAAATTTTACAGGAAACATTTCTCCTGTAAAAAATTTCATTTTTATTTTTATCTAAAAATTGTTTATTTTATCTAAAAAAATCTTTATTTTATCTAAAAAAAAATCTTTTCCTAAAAAAAAATATTCTTTTTAAACCTTGGTTTTAAAAAAAGTGTGACTATTCACATTTTCAAAATACAGCGTTCAATTGTAAAACAAGTGACTTCTTAACTAGAATTACTGACTTTTCCATGACTATCTAAAGAAAAAAATAATTCCCTGACTTTTCCAGGTTTTCCACGACTTTAGCTAATATTAACAAATTTTCCAGATTTTCCAGGTACAGTACGGACCTTGTCCAATGTTGGCAAATAATTTTTTTACATATTTTAGTTCTTAATTTTAATAAAACAATTTTTAAAATTAATATCATCTATAAAACTATTATATTACCTTCGTCTATTAGATAAATTTAAATAAACGATTATATAATGAACCACTAGAAACTGTTAAAACTTTAAACTAATATGAATACTCTGTTGTTTTTTTAAACATTTGATTTCAAATGGATTTCAAAGTTGGTGACACCAACTTTAAAATCCAACAAAAAATTTTTGTTACGTTCATAAACTTAAACGTTCTTAAAACGACTAAAAACCTGACCAAGCCTGTGCTATAAGCTTTGATATACTGATTATTACACAACCAAATGTTAATTACCACTCCGACTTTTTGACCGTAATATATGAAAAAGTCTTTAAAATCATAAGAGTTAAAGCTATGAATAAAGATTTTTAATCATCAGACATAAAGAATTTTATATAAAAACTTACCATTTAATAAATTTTGTTCATTTAACTTCTCAGAGCAAACATTGAACTTTTGTAAAGAGTTAAGAGTTACAGGTAAATCCCAAAGTTTAATAATATTTTTTGTTTTATTATAAGAAATTGAGGATAAATCATCTACACCAAAATATACACAATTTTTTGTCTCTTTAATCTTTATTTTGGCTGATCATTTTGGCTGTCTTCCTTTTTTGTCTCCAGAGCAGAAGTTTAGCCTTCTGCTAAATTCAATCTTGCATTGCTATAAAAATCTATAAATCAAATCATTAACAATCAAGTTATAACTAAAACTAATGTATAAGATTAAAGTTGTTAACTGTTGTACGCAAACTAAATATGAAAAATATCCACAGAAATTAAATTTAAATATAATAAAACCAAGAATAATGTCCCTCTGCCTCAAAAAGATGGAATATATAAAGGGTTTTTTTGATTTAAACCATGATTTAAATCAGACAAATAAAAACAATATTTAAATTGAATTTTTTTATTTTAATTGTTTTTAATGATTATTTATTGATTTAATCTTATAATTCAATCAATTATTATAGACTAGTCATTGGTTTTAAAATAAAATGTCTCGCAATATTAGAAAGCTCTACATAAGTAGAACATAAATTGTAGTAACATTACTTTTTGTACACTGTTTTAATACGTAAATTATATTTTCCGTGAAAATTCACGAAAATTAAGAAGCAATTTTGGCTATTTTCCGTGAAAATGACGTATTTCTGAGTCAACCAATAATCAACGTTTAAAAAATTAATAGAATATAGGAGGCAAGTTTTGTAGTGTATGAATATTTATAATATAATGACAATCGATTTAATTTTAATATTGATTGACATATATTGTCAATCAAAATTGAAATCAATTGAAATCTATTGTTTTTGATTGTTTTTTTGATGTTGAAACAAAGCAAGTATTTGTGCAAATATTTGCTTTGTTTTTAAAAGCTTTAAGTAATTTTTGCTGAATAAAAACTTTGTTTGCTTTAAGATTAAGCCAACAAAGTTGTTTTTATTATTAAAAGTTCTTTGTGTTTAATAGATATCATAAAAATCTCATCCAATCTATTAAACACAAAGAACCTTTAGTATAACTTCGTTTGCTTAAGCTTTACATATATATATATATATATATATATATATATATATATATATATATATATATATATATATATATATATATATATATATATATATATATATATATATATATATAGGTACGCGCACTGAAATTTTTAAATTAATCATATAGTACAATGTCATATATCATTAGAAAGGCCTTTAATACAGTATTTTAAAGGTGAAAAAATTATTAAAAACGAACAATTCTAAAAATAGTTATAACGTTTTTAGTACCAAATTTAAGATATATGGAATTGTTGAAGAAACTGTGGTCAAAATAATTATTTTTTTCACTTAAATTATTATAACTTTGTCAATTTTTATCCAAATACCTATATCTTGGTATCAAAAGATAGGTGCACTAATGGGCTACAAGTTTATATAGGTGCCTGGACGTAGGGTGTATCTTGGGAGCCAGAGGGGGTAATGAAACACCATCGAACCCTTAAGAAAATACAAGTTTTTGTCAAAAATAAGCACTTTTTTAATGTAATTGTTAGATTTTATACATAAAATATTGCCATAACTTGATTCCAGGACACTGCCAAACAAAATAAGGTGATCTTAGAGTTGGCCGTAGATGTGGTTATAATGTTATAACACCCTAATACAATAATCATACATTCTAATAAATAATTTAATCTTTATTACAATAATTAAATATTTTGTTAAAAAGTAAAAATATATTTTTTTACTATACAACATACATTAGTGATGTGCACACTAACTTTAAGGAAGGGCGTATGTCGCACCGCAAAAAACATAGTAATTAATTTATGTCTTGGCTTTTAGTAAATGATTTAAATTAAGTTCCAATGCAACTAAATAAATCATTTTTAACAATAGACACAACGTGAAGGTAAGCCAGAGCCGTCTATCTTTTTTTTTTGCAAGCCACAAAACATGTATACCTATTTGCAAGCCACAAAACTTGCAGTACTTATTTGAAAGCCACAAAACTTGCGGTACACATTTGCAAGCCACAAAACTTGCTGTACCTATTTGCAAGCCACAAAACTTGCTGTATCTATTTGCAAGCCACAAAACTTGCGGTACTTATTTGCAAGCCATAAAACTTGCGGTACTTATTTGCAAGCCACAAAACTTGCTGTACCTATTTGCAAGCCACAAAACTTGCTGTACCTATTTGCAAGCCATAAAACTTGCAGTACACATTTGCAAGCCACAAAACTTGCTGTATCTATTTGCAAGCCACAAAACTTGCTGTACCTATTTGCAAGCCACAAAACTTGACTTAATTATTATACTAACTATTTTAAAATAAAATTACAAAGTTGTAAAAAAAAAATCAATATTGCAAATAACAAGAAATGCATATACATATTAAATGTAATAGTTTATTAAATTACTAGTTGCAGCAGATGACTAAGGAACTAAAGTTAAACATATTATAAAGTTTGCATAGTAAAAACTAATAGTTGTTTAACTTACCAGGTGTAGCACAAGAGGTAGATACTAAAATTACAAAGTTGTATCAAAAAATCAATATAGCAAATAACAAGAAATGTATATACATATTAAATGTAGTATTTTATTAAATTACTAGTTGCAAAAGATGACTAAGGAACTAAAGTTAAACATATTATAAAGTTTGCATAGTAAAAACTAATAGTTGTTTAACTTACCAGGTGTAGCACAAGAGGTAGATACTAAAATTACAAAGTTGTATCAAAAAATCAATATAGCAAATAACAAGAAATGTATATACATATTAAATGTAGTATTTTATTAAATTACTAGTTGCAAAAGATGACTAAGGAACTAAAGTTAAACATATTATAAAGTTTGCACATTAAAAACTAATAGTTGTTTAACTTACCAGGTGTAGCACAAGAGGTAGATACTAAAATTACAAAGTTGTAACAAAAAATCAATATTGCAAATAACGAGAAATGCATACACATATTAAATTTATTATTTTTTTAAATTACTAGTTGCAGCAGCTGACTAAGGAACTAAAGTTAAACATATTGTAAAGTTTGCAAATTAAAAATTAAGAGTTATGTAACTTACCAGGTGTAGTACAAGAGGTAGATACTAAAATTAAAAAATTAATATTGCAGCAAATGGGAAATCCATACACGACAAGTAATAAATAAATAAGTAAGAAATGCATATTTATTTATATTTATTTAATGGTTAATTAAAGTTATGCTATAATAACTTACCAGCTGTAGTCTGTGCAAATTGGCCTAAAGATAACAAAAATGTTATATAATCAAAAAAAAAAAAAAAAACATCTTGAAATTGTCAACAGTCAATAAAAATAACAGTTATCAAATCAGTTCTGCTTTACGTACAACAACCTATGTAACTAAAAAAAAAGCAATAAAAAAAATAATAAAAAATATAAATTATATTACTGTATTTTAAAATTATATTACTGTATATTAGAAAAACACTAACAAGATACTTTAATAAGAATAAACATATTATTGTAAAAGTATTTTTATAATTTTACAAAAATAAGCTTATTAATAATAAGCTTATTCATATAAAAATATCAATAATAATAATATTTTAAAATATCAATAATAATATTATTCTTAAAATATCAATAAAATCATAATATTATTCTAAAAAAATAATAATGTTATTCTAAAATTATCATTAATAATATTATTCTAAAAATATTTTGTCAAAAACTGTATTGGCTTAAGCCAATAGAGTTTTACTTTAAAGTATAATAATGTCATTTGTATATTTTTATATATATGGTGTATTAACAACATTGGCATCTGATACTATTAGTTAATAAAATATTCCAAAGTAACGGTTTAATCTTAAATCCTAATCTTTTTTAATATATCATTGGTATAACTTATACCAAAGATTAAGGTTTTTAAACTTATACTATAAGTTTAAAAACCTTAATCTTTGTTTACATATCATGATGATATGTAAACAAAGATTAATGTTTTAAAACTTATAACTTTTTTAAAAAACAAAACAATAATGATAAGTTTAAAAACCTTAATCTTTGTTTACATCATGATGATGTAAACAAACTTTGTTATTATCATGAAAAACAAATTAACTTACTTTTTGAAGTCTTCTTTGTTATAACTTTTACCATTTTTTATTTATTAAAATAATCTAATATTAAAAATTATATAATACAATGTAGTAAGAATTTTTTTGTTTACCATTCGCCACCCCCCTATCCTCCCCGTATTTCTCTTACCGATAAAACAAAAACAAAAACAAAAAAAACCGAATTTAGGTACCAAAAGTCCTACACTTCTTATACTATCTGCTCCCTAATATTTTTGGCTGAAATTTGGCATGTACAAAGAAAATGCATGCAAAAAAGTTCCTGAATAACAAAAAAAACGGAAACTTCATTCCTTCGATAAGAACTTAATGTGAGAACATCAACAAAATTTTCATGAAAGTTTTTAGCAAAACTAACCATAAAAAAGTTTAGTGTTTATAAATAAAAGTACTATAAAAATCAAGCCTAACCTTTCTTCTTTCCAAATATACTTTTTGTTTATATATGTTTCTAAAAAAAAACACCACTAAAAACGTTAGTCTAACCCTACTTCAAAAAAGCAGTATATTTAAAAAAGCACCTCGTTACATATCTGCTCCCTAATATTTTTCGTTGAAATTTGGCACATAAATAGAAAATACATGTATAAAGGTGGCTGAACAATCAAAAAAGCGGAAACTTCATGCCTTCGACTACAAATTTATGTGAAAACATCAACCAAATATTCAGGAGCAAAATAATCCTTTAAAAAATTTAGGAACCATACATGAAAGTTTAAAAAAAATAAAGATCAGCTTCTCTTCTTTCCAAAAAGTATCTATGTGTATATATGTTTCTAAAAAGAAACTCCACAAAACTACGTCTACCCCACGCTGCCTAAAAAAAAGTGAAAAAAACGAGTCACAAGATTTTATCACAAAAATCGGTTCCGTAAATGACGTATATGCGCGTACCTAATATATATATATATATATATATATATATATATATATATATATATATATATATATATATATATATATATATATACACACACACATTATAGTCTGTCAGGTCAGTCATAATGATCACCCTGCTACTGGTAACATCTAGTTACCAGTAGCAGAGTGAGATATTAGACATCCTGCTGCCTTGTAGATATTAAAAATCCTGCTGCCTTGTAGAGTTTCCTTTTATAAGTAAAGGTAGGGGAAGTTAACTCTGATACAAAAAACCTTCCCTAACTTCTCTAGAGCCTTTGGGCTCTAGAGAAGTTAGAGATGGTATTTCAAAACAAATATATACTCATATTGAACATGTTTTAATTACATCTGAATACTGTCTTTTAGAAGTAATTCTTTTGCAAAAACTTTACTAAGACTCTTCTTTATTTATTTGGCTGCCATAGATGTAAACTTGTGTTACATTGTTTCCTGCTTATGATAATGAACACTGGATGAATAGTAACAGTGCCATGTTGAGCATAGATGATGTCTCTGTTGGTGTTTTTTTGTGTGAAGTTTAATGAAAGGTTACATTAAAGATCAGGCAGGCTTGAATGTCACCTCTCTTCTGTGACAGCTTTTGGCTCAATGTGACTGGTGATTTTTATTCCTCACAGTTGTTACTGCTAATAACTATCACAATGTTGTAGATATCTTTTTGTTGATGAATGGAAACACTTTTACTGAAATTTTCTAATTTTCATCTTCCTGATTTAATGAGTAGTGAATCTTATTTACAATTTATTGCAAAGTATCTGCTATGGTTGACTCTTAATTGTGCTCATCATTTTAGTTGTGTTTAATAGACAGGATAAAATTTTTATGATATCTGTTAAATACTGTAATATTCTGAGGATGATATTATACTAAGAATTAAATACAACGTAAAGTTTAAAGCGTGCAAACCGCCATATTTATTTCAAGTAATAATAATAACACGAGGCATGTGTGTATTATGCCGAACACGGATGTTACATCTTCCTTCTTAAACTTTTTTTTTTTTTTTTTTTTTAAAGATATGTATATTTATCATATAGTTAAACAAGTTCTTTATAATATACACTGTTAAATGAAGTCTCTCAAGTAGGCAGGTCTCTTTTTAGTCCTTAGAGATCTTTGCAAGTCAGGCTGCGGTTCAGTCGAAAGAGTTTCAGGAATACACATAGCTTCTATTTCGTTGTTTGCTGTTTCCTCATTTGATGTAGGTGTGATAACAGCCGGTAAATCGTATGGCAAATCAAGTTGTTCATGCTGATATACTAGTGGTTGCTCATTGGTTTTAATCAGATGTTTACGATTGCGTCGATATACTCTTCCGTACTTATCTACCACGTTGTATGATCTGGGTCATGTTAATTTTTCTTTAACTGTCACTTTCTTCCATATTCTTTTGAGAAGTTAAGGAATTCTGCACTGTTGTAGGGGTTGTTATCGGCAATGAGACTTGAAGGTATTCCGTGACGAGTAAATATGGTTTTCATAAATTTGATTACAGAAAATGCCGTTTTGTCAGGAATGACACTGTTTTCTATAAATTTAGAAAAGTAGTCTATAACAATTACATAGATTTTTCCATGCAACTCATATATGTCTGATCCTACTTTACTCCACGGTAAGTCAGGAATGTCGTGTTGAATGATTTTTTTCTTTTTGTTGTGATTACGGTATTTAAGGCATTTATGGCAATTAAGTATTAGTTTATCAATGTCGCTTGTAAGTCCTGGACAGTAAACAACGTTTCGAGCTCTAGCTTTCGTCTTTTCGGTGCCAAGGTGTGATAAGTGAAGCTGTGTTAATATAAGGGGTCTCATATCAGTTGGTATGACTATTTTATTTTCTTTTAAAATTATTCCCTCTGCTATGTGTAAGTTGTTTCTGATGGTCCAATATTTCTTTTCTTTACCACAGAGCATTTGTCGGTTTCGGGGCCAACCATAAGTTATATAGTTTGTTATTTGAGAGAGTACAGGGTCAATTTTAGTGTCGTGCTCCAATTGTTTTAGTCTATCTGTTGATATTGGCAAATTTTGAACTAAAGTGTGGACCATAACGCTGCAGTCCTCATTTAGGCTATCATCCTCGTCAAAAATGTTGAGGTGAGCACGTGATAAAGAGTCTGCAATGTGTAGATCTTTTCCTGGAACATATTTTACTATAACTTGATATTTTTGGAGTCTTATTAGAAGTCTTTGTATGCGAGGTGGTGCTTCTGACAGCGGCTTGTGCAAGATATATTCAAGAGGTTTGTGATCACTTTCTAGTGAGACCTGTCGCCCATAGGTATATTGGTTGAAGCGTTCACAAGCAAAAACTATTGCTAAAAGTTCTTTCTTTATCTGGGCATATCTCTGTTCTGCTATGATAGACTACGAGAAGTATAGCTGATCGGGTGACCTTCTTGCATAATACAGGCTCCTAACCCATGTGAAGATGCGTCTACCTGAATTTGAACATCTTTTGACGTGTCGAAAAATGAGAGTACAGGAGAGGATGAAAAAACCTGTTTAATTTTTTCCATAGCACTGGTATGTTCATGGTTCCATGACCAGTGTATGTCTTTTCTAAGCAGCTGGCGAAGGGGAGCTGTTATCTCTGACATATTTGGGATGAATTGTCGCAGGTAGTTGACCATTCCTAAGAGCCGTTGCAAATCTGCTTGACATGTAGGCAATGGGTATGCAGATATGGCTTTAGTTTTTTCAGGATCAACTCTTGTGCCTTCATGGCTGATTATGTTGCCAAGATACTTGACCTCAGATACTCGAAATTGTATTTTTTTAAGGTTGAATTTGATGTTTCTTTCACGAGCTCGTTGTAAAATTTGTTGGAAAATTTTATCATGCTCTGTATCTGTTTTAGCTGCAATAATCAAGTCATCGTGGATAGCCAGAACATTAGGGATATCACCGAAATTAAGTTCAATCATCTCTTGTGCAGCATCTGATGCGCATGATATGCAGAACGGCATGCGGTTGAATTTGTATCGGCCATAAGGAGTGTTAAATGTGCATAGCTCTGAGGAAGGTTCATCTAGTTTTATATGCCAATAGCAATCAGCCATGTCTATAACAGTGAAAACTTTGTTGCCGCAAAGTTTGCTAGAGATTTCTTCTGTAGATGGAGTGGTTTTGTATTGTCTTAAAACAGACTTGTTTAGTTCTTTCGGATCAATGCATAGTCTTAAGGATCCATCTTTTTTCTCTACGATGACCATTGAGTGTACCCAAGGTGTCGATTTAGAAATTTTTGAGATAGCTGTGGCTTTTACTAGACGATCAAGTGTGCTTTTAGTATTTCAAGAGATTTGCAAGAACTTAGACCAAGAAGTGGTTTTACGTCAGACAGAGATACAACAAAAAACTGACACACTTGTGAAATGTTATTCTTTTTTATAGTTAGGTTGCATATTCCTAGTACAGGAATATTGTTTCCACCATATGATTTTAGTTGAGTTATTGTTTTTTTGAGAGGAGGTCTTCCAGGAATAGAGTTGTAGACGTTGTATGGAATAACGTTACATTGGGCTCCAGTATCTAATTTAAATGTTATACTTTTGTTGTTGACTGTAATATTTGTTGTTAAATCGTCAGGACATTCCATTGATGCTGCAACATGATGAATATATAACTCTGCAATGTTGAGGTTGACTTCCTTTTGATCAACTTGGTCTACACGATTAGTATTAAAGCGATTAGTTTTGGATCTGCATACTTTAGCAAAATGGTTTAGTTTTCCACATGCTGTGCACTTTAGGCCATATGCTGGGCAAAACGAGGTAGTATGTTGTGATCCACAGTAGTAGCAAGATTTTTGTAAAGGTCTTTCAATCTTTAGGGAGTTGAAATTAAGTCTGTTTCCATGTTTATTTATAGAATCTGCCTGGATTGTATTTTCAAGGGCTTTTAATTGTGTTTTTGATGTTTCATATGCTCTCATGAAACTGATTGTTTTCTCTAGAGTAAGCTCAGTGTCTCTAAGTAGTCGTTCTCTGGCAGCTTTTGAGTCGATTCCACAGACTACTCTGTCACGTATTAGGCTTTCTTCGAGGGTTCCAAACTCGCACGTTTTAGCTTTATTTCGTAAATCGATTAAAAAGTCAGTAAATAATCTGCTGTCTTGCATACATGTATTGAATAAATAACGTTCATAAGTTATCTTTTTTTTGGGGCTGAAATAACATTCAAACTTTTGAACTAAAGGTGCTAATTTATCGTTCTCTTCAATAGTGAAAACAAACGTATCATATACTTTTAAAGCGTCCTCACCAATCATATGAAGGAAGATGGCACATTGGATATCTTCATTCTTGTCATTGACTCCTGAAGCTATTTTACAAAGATTCCATCTCTGCTTCCATTTTCGCCAGTTTTCTGAAACATTACCATTTAAATTCATGGCCTCTAATGGTCCAAGCTGTTCCATTTTATTTAAAACACAGGTTTACTTCTGGTACCATGTAATATTCTGAGGATGATATTATACTAAGAATTAAATACAACATAAAGTTTAAAGCGTGCAAACCGCCATATTTATTTCAACCAAGGCGTACTTAAATAACAGGCCTTCTCATCGCGCAACGGCTTAAAAAATGTGGAGGCTGATTTAGTTAGCGGCAAAAGTTACTACGAATAACTTGTATCCCTACCAGAAGACTTAAAAATGCCCAGAAAATTTTGTGTTACTGGTTGTAACTCTAACTATGGCTCAGTAAAAGATAAGACAACTACTTTCAGATTACCGAGAGATCCAGTAGAGCGTCTAAGATGGATTAAAGCAAACCCAAGAGAAAATATACCAGACAAACATGACACTGTAGTTTGTGCAAAACAATTTCCACCAAACTTCCAAGTTATTAAAGTAAAAGGAAGAGAAAGACCTCGAGATCCACCTAGTGTATTCGAACAAGTACCCAAGAGTTTAGTGCCAACTCCTCCACCAGAAAAAAGAACAACAACAAAATCCAAAAGCTCTGTAAGATCAATAAAAGAAGATGAACTTTCAAAATTCGAAGAGCTTTACAAAATTGATTCATTCGAAAATTTTTGTAATTCGTTATCTCTAGAAAAACTTAATGATTTAGTTGTTTATTATAATGGTTTAAATAGCTGTTGTATTCAATCAAAAGAGCATGCAAACAATACTGGTATTAATAAATTTTGTTTAATAGTATTTAATGACTTATCATATGAAGCCTATCATGCTGGAGTAAGATGCACTATTGCTTCCTTAGTTAAAAATCGTATTCATAAGTTCAAATGTTGGTCGCAAGTTCATGAGGCATTACGATATTTGATTTCCTTTGAAAAGTCAGAAAAGAAAACAGTTTTAATTCAGCAATTTGAATGCATGAGTAACATGAACTCAAGTAATATTCTTAAGCAAAAATATTCGCCTGAAGTAATTGTTCGAGCTTTTGAGTATTTTGCACAGTCACGTAGTTTATACAATCAATTAAGAAATGATTTTCAACTTCCTAGTATTGCTACCCTTACACGTTTAACTTCAAAAGTTTCACACTTTGATGATAATACTTTTATTTGTAGTGTTTTTTCAAAACTCAACAATGGTCAAAAACAATGTATACTATTATTAGATGAAGTTTATGTTAAACCTATGCTAACTTATCATGGAGGACAGTTGTTTGGTAAAGCAGTAAATGATGAATCAAATCTTGCAAAAACTGTATTGGCTTTCATGGTTGTATGTTTTTATGGAGGACCAAAATTTTTAGTTAAAATGTTACCAGTAAATAATTTAGATGCAGATTTTTTATATGATCAAACTATTATCTTAATCAACCAAATTACGAAGGCAAATGGAAAAGTTATTGCTTTAATTAATGATAATAATAGAGTAAATCAAGCATTTTTCAAACGATTTGATTGCATATTTCCATGGTTAACAACTGATGGCATTTTTTTACTCTTTGAGTTTGTGCATTTAATAAAGTGTATACGAAACAATTGGATAACTGAAAAGTCTGGTGAAATTGAGTTTAGTTATAGAGGAAAAAAATATAATGCTAAATGGGATCACATCAAAAAGCTTCAAAAGTTAGAAGAAGGTGAATTGGTTAAAATGTCTAAGTTGACTTATGTTGCTGTTAACCCAAGGCCAATTGAGAGACAAAAGTTTTTTGTGAAGAGACTATAAATGCATTAAAGTGTCATCAAGGTATGAAAGATGATGATATTGATGGAACTATTATTTTTTTAACTAAGGTGGTTCAATTTTGGAAAATAGTCAACGTTAAAAGTCCATCCGAAGAAATCCATTTGAAAGACAACTTACGAGCTCCCATATCATATGGTTGATGATTTACGATTAAATGATTTAATTGAGTTTTCTGAAATGTTAAAGCCAACATTGATTCAAGGAAAAATAATTAGAAGTATAACCATGGATACAAGCAATGCATTATATCAAACTTGTAATGGTTTAGTTGAACTAAGTAAGCATTTGTTAGACAATTCTCAAATGTATGTACTGCTTGGGAATTTTACAACAGACCCCATAGAAAGAGCATTTGGAAAACTCAGACAAGGTAGTGGGGGAACTTATTTTATAAATACTCAACAAGTAATTGAAAAGTGGAATATCAACAAAACCAAACTATTTCTTCAGAAAACTATCAACATTTCAAGTGCTGAGTTTACATCTGGTCATATTTGTGATAATTGTTTTTAAAAACTTTCAGAAGATGAGTGTGAGATGTTTAATCATTTACATGAACTTTTAGACCAACTTTCATCGAATATTAAGTCATATTTAGTTTACATTGCAGGTTATATTTCTAGAAAAGACAATGAAGATGATAACGATGACACTTATCTGTATTATAGTAATTATGGAAATTTTACATCTGCCTTAGATCGTGGTGGTCTGAAAATACCCAGTGATACATTTTGTGAATGGGTATTCTTAAGTTACATTTTGTTTAATTTTGTTGGCACATCAAACTTTTGTAGATATTCTATGTCCTGCTTATTCATGGATATTGCATGTATTTATGGTTATATTCTTACAAATATATTATTTAACAATTTTTGCTATATGCATTCACCTGCATCAGACAAGGAAACCAAAGTTAAAGCTTTAAAACTGTTTTGTTAGCTTTTGTGAATAAATATACCATAAAAAGTTTCCAATTTAACTTTAGATGATATTTCGTTTAAAAATTGTTAATTTATATTTTTACTTTTTAATTCTTTCTGTTAATGTTTCATTGTATGCAAATACATAGAAGTAGCTTGGTTATCTTTTGTTATTGTTATTTTTGAACTTACAAGGTGTTGTTTTTTTTTTACTTTCTTGACAAAATAACAATTATTTTTGTTTTATAAACGTTTTTGTAATAAAAATATCGACTTCTTTATAAAATGATAAAATATTATTTAGTAAAAAATGGCATGGTTTAAGCCTTACATTCTTCTTATCCTTAGTTTTTTATTTAATCAGGTTATGCATTTAGAGAAATAGACTAAAATAATCAAATCACAAGCTCCTACTATATTGTTAAAAGAATTTTTAAATATTTAAAACTTAAAAAAAAAATTGTTTAATAGTTGAAAGCATCAAAACCAAATCAGCTTCCACATTTTTCAAGCCGTTGCGCGATGAGAAGGCCTGTTATTTAAGTACGCCTTGATTTCAACTAATAATAATAACACAAGGCATGTGTGTATTATGCCGAACACGGATGTTACAAACACAAAGAACTTAAAATACCGTAAACGGGGGTGAATATGAACGCTTTTTGAACATTTTTGCATCATGAAAGAAAAGTGTTGGCCTAATCCTAACCATTTTTTCTGTAACAGAACATTATACTACTCAGCTTCCTGAATTAGTTGTAAGCCTGATCAACACTATGCAGTAAATACCTTAGTTTTCTGGTTTTATACGAGCATATACGTATTTCCGAAACGGGGTGAAAATGAACGGCCAATTTGGGGTGACTTTGAACACTACATATTATTTCTATATTCTAGTATATCGCTATATTACCTTATTACAATGGGGGAAAAAACTGTTAAAGATCAAAACAGATAACATGAAGTTTATTTTGCATAGAACATATTTTTATTTAAACTAAGTTCATGTGATAAATTAGCATATTATGTTTAAAAACTAGTTTTTTCAATATATTAACATGTATCACAATATTTACAAATCTGTTCCACATAAAAACAGAACATTAAATATCACTATCCTCAAATTCTTCAAATGACTCACACATGCTGCATACAAAGTATAAGATATTTTCAATATTGAGCTCATAATAATCATCTTTATCATAAATGAGGCCACAACACTGGAGGTGATATGGTTTACTGCATTTGTCGCATTGAACCCACACGTCGTCGCTTAACTCTACCCATTTTTTGTTACAGAAAGTACAGTACCAATCATTATCTGTGTTGCTTTTTAGCTCTGTTGAACTTGATGGAATTGACTCAACTAAAGAATGAATTCTTTTACCTGGTACCACCTTTGGACCACGAGGTTTGCGTTTTGTAGTTGGATTTGTGCCTAACCCTAGATTGTTTTTTAGAATATCTAAAACAGATTCGTTAAGAACCATAACGGTGTCATTACCACCAGGGTCTTTATATTTTCCTGGAAGATATTTTATAACCTCTGTTCTGTCCATAGGGCAGATTCCCGTTGCTTTAAATCCGCTAACCAAAGCTACTGGTCACAGGTGGTCCACCTTGAGTCCAACCCTGGTAAAGGTTCTTTGCTTTGTAAACTACCATGGGCGGCAAAAACTCTCCAACAGCGTTGCCAGAAAATATTAAACTGGTTGACTGCTTCGAATGTTCTTGTTTTTTTTGACACGGTGCCCAAGGCCACGACGAACAATACCGGATTTGGACCCTGGATTGTCTGTTATATTGGTCTCATCATAGTTATAGATATTTTTTGGAGGTATATCCTTCAACTCTTTATACAAATTATCAAAATATTTGTTAAGGGTATCTTCATTGACCATGGCTCTACTGTGCTTAACATTATCAGCAACCCTGTTTGTTAAGTTATGTCTCTTCATGAAAGACTGAACCCAAATATACCCCAGGCATATTGTTTTTGAATCGAGCGTCAGTTATACTCCTTTTATCACAATACCCGACGGGCATTTGTTTTTAAAAGTTACGTTCTAAATGTGTTTTAAATGTCTTTTAAACGTCTTTTAAACATAAATGTTTAAAAGACGTTTAAAAGATATTTAAAATACATTTAGATCGTAACTTTTAAAAACAAATGCCCGTCGGGTATGATTTGACTAAAAGTCTTATATCCAAAGAATCAAATGGTACCCTCCAATCAGTCATATGTACAATTGTTTGGACAAATAAATTTTCTGTTATACTATCAAGTCTGGTTTGTCCGCCGTTTTTTTTCGGAACTTGATCCCCAAGCTTAACTTTTTTGTGTAATGTTCCTAATGGAATATTGTACTTTTTTGAAGCTTTCCTGAAGCTAAATCCTTGGTTTTTGATTTTAATTAAAGCTATTTCTAAGTCTTTTTTTGTATAACTTGTTTTATAAGCTCTACTGTTTTCCTTTCTCTTGTAATTTCGAGGCATAGTTTTAAAAATTAACAAAATATAATAAAAAATCGTGTTAAAAAAATGTCATTTTCAAATGAGCTTATAATCGGATACAGACAAGTTATACATTAAATTATTGTTTTATTAGAACATTATTTACCTGAACCTAAATTGAGGTAACTTTGATGACGTTTAGATGAGCGGTTCTTAAGATACTCCTTGATAGGTGGGTTAATAACACGAACCACGTAGCTTGTATTGTTTATATGCGATAGAGAAAAGACGGGAAAAGAAAATTTTGAGGGCAGCCAAAAATTATCTTCCACACATTATATTTAAGGCAAGTGAGTCAAAAAATTTCAATTTTTAGCTATATTTTATGTGCTGCTTCACCATTAAGTTAAGCTAGTACTAGTGTTCATTTTCACCCCGCTGTTCATATTCACCCCCGTTTACGGTATTACTTCGTTTGGTTAATATTTAAGCAACCAAAGTTTTTATTTAGCGAAAATTTTAACTCCTAATTTTGAAATTTTAGCATACCAAATTTAAAACTCTAATTGTGTTTACCGTTTTTTACACTTTATTCCATTCTCTACCTTTACTTCTAGACAAGGTTCAAAAATGTTCGTAAATATAGTTGGATCTTCTCCAGCTTCCTAGGTTTAGCTCTTGTCCCACCATCATATGATGGCATCTATTTTTCTTTTTTATAGATACTTATATAGTTCAACTTCACCAAATTATCTTTTTTTATTCTACTAACTGTAACTCAATCTGACAATAGTTGTCATTCAACAAAGGCGCTACTCGACTTTCTCCCCCCCCCCCCCCCCTGTTTTTATGATTGATTTTTATAGAGTATATTATACTGATTCTAAATCATATAAAAACATAGGTCTGAAAACTTGAGGAAAGTACTCTAAACTGATGTTAAAGTATAAAAATCCACATTAAAAAACGCTAATATTCCACCATCTTTTTAAAAACATTTTAACACTGTTTTTAAAATTTAGGTAATTAATTTTTTAACTAACGACCCGGTTTTTATTGTTGTTTTTATATTTTATGATGTACATACATCAACTGACATAGGAATAGGCGCAACTAAATGTACATGTATCGACTGACAAATAGGAATTGGCGCGATTAAATATACATACATCGACTGACAAATAGGAATTGGCGTAAATAAATGTACATATCTACTGACAAATAGGAATTGGCGCAATTAAATGTACATGATTTTGATCAGGGTTTGGTTGGGGCAGGAAATCAATAAAAAATGCGTTTTAAATTGAAGCGTCGATAGAAACCAGGGTTTTTCAAAGTTTTTATTGAAAAGGAATTTTATTATAACCGAGTATGACAAAGATGGCTAATATTAGCGTTTTTAATGTGGATTTTTATACTTTAACATCAAATTAGAGTACTTTCCTCAAGTTTTCAGACCTATGTTTTTATATGATTTAGAATCAGTATAATATACTCTATAAAAATCAATCATAAAAACAGGGGGGGGGGGGGGGGAGAAAGTCGAGTAGCGCCTTCAACAAATTTGTATCCACCTACTGTATCTGTTCCTTCACGCTCTAAAAATCTTTATTCATCTATTATTATTTCTTGTACATTAAAGGAATTCTCTCCTGTTCTCATGTTTTCCTAAAAAATATGATTTGCAATTTTTTAATTTTGTCAACTTTTTTTGTAACTTTTCTTGACAATTGCTCTTTTACTTTATCTTTTCTTGCTTAGAATTTACTTTTTTAGTTTGTTTTTATCACTACCAACAATGCAAGCAACACTATTTAATTTAGGAATTTTTGACCTTTTTTTTATATTAAGAAACAAAATCTTTTGCAATGTCTTTGACACTATTTAATTCCTAAATTAAATAGTGTAAAGATATTGTAAAAGTTTTTATATATATATTGCAAAAGGTTTCATTCAAGAACAATCGAGAGAAAAAATTTTTTTTTTCTTATTGTCATTGTTATTGTTAAAAAAATTGAAAGAAACGATTACAAATAAAAATTGCATTTCTTTTGGAAGGTGAAAACCATGAGATAAAGTGATACAAGGTTAGAAACTTCTACAAAACAGTTGCTTGATGCAGTTTATGCCTGCCCAAGATGAATACTTTTATAGATATGCCATTTCTAGCTTTTACTCAACAAGAGGCCCTTCAGGTATTAAATCTGTTTTAAATCTGAGTAACATTTCTTACGTTCACTTTTTACATTCTTCTGAGTAAACAATCTAACATTCATTTCTTACTTTCATTATGAAAGCAAATTACACAAGGCAGCTTGATATGGATCAGATCTTACCTCTCTTAGTCCTTTAACTTCAAAACATGAACTTTGATGTTTGCAGTGGAGAGATGAGTTGAGCTCTGTACCACCAGGAGTCTGTAATCATTCAGTAATCACTTAGATTCACTTAAAAACAATTTAACTACAGCAATATGATTTTTGTATATATTATTTGTGTATAAGTGTCTTTTTATCCACTTTTTTTTAATTATTATTGGTGTTTTTAAACTTAATCACAGTTTACAAACAGCTTAATTTTATTGGTTTTTAAAATTAATACACAGTTTACAAATCACAGTTTAATTTTTTTGCTATTTTAAATTTAATCACAGTTTACAAATAATTTTAAAACGTGTCTCACTGATGATGTTTTTTAAACATATATATTCAAAGTTTATATCTATAAAAAAATATAATTTTGTATGAAGTTAGTTGTTTATATATCAAACTGGACAACTACAATTGAACACAATTAAAGATTTTGTTATGTGTTTATCAAGAGTTTTTTCGAAAATTTTTTAAGATTTTTCTTTTAGATTTTTAAAGTATTTAAAAATATTTTCAACAATGCAAGATATTCTAAATGAAAAATTTTGCGATTTTAATGCTGCAGAAAAGGCTGTGATGCATTACTGCAATACCCATTTTCATCCAATTAGAGTTGATTACAAGGAAAATTTTGAAAGTTACAATAAGAAAGTGAAGCAAGAATCACAAATTAAAAATCAACCTTTAGATTCAATATATGCATGCAGGTTTAAATTTACATTTATGTTAGTAATATTTTTATTTACTAAACTTTGTGGTGTATTTATATCTATTTTATTACTATATATGGATTTCATTTAAAAAAAATACTTAAAAATAATCATAAAAAAATGTTTTTATTTACTATTACAATTACTACCTTAAAAATAGTGTTATTCGTGTACTTTTCATGTTTACAGATGGACATGCAAACATTTTGGCCACCAAAAACCTTATCTTATGAAGAAAAATCAAGGTAAGCGCAATAATCAGGCAATACTTCCATGTGGCTGCAAAATGTTTATTTATGTTTCATATGACAACCAACGACAATGCTATGGTGTTAAAAAATTGTTTCTTGAACACAACCATCCATATGGTATAGAAGAATTTTCTATGTATAGTTCACAGCGTCAACCAAAAGGATTATTAGAACAGCAGACATTGATGTTGATTGAACATCGGACAAATACAGCACTTGTGACAGATAGCCTTAATAGAAGCGGTTTGAAAACTAAACCTAGAGATATTTACAACATAAAACAAAAGCTTAAATTCAAAGGTTAGTTGTTTTTGTATATACAGTGTTGAGAAAGATATTAGAATCGCATCTTTTTTGTCTATTTTAGCAATTGTCATGATATATTTATTTTATTCAACAGAGTAAATCTGCCTTGAGTTCCTTTTTAGTTTCATAAAACTATTTTAAAAATGCTGGTGGAAAACAATTTGATTATTCTTTGAGTTAGAGAATTTTTTCATGTAAAGTTGACGAGTAACATATTGTTTTTACAATTATACATATAATATAAAATCTTTTACTTCCGTTATTATTGTTTTTTTATGAAGAAAAGAAACATTGGCACTACTGATTTTGAAATAATAAGTAATGTAGCATGTCAAACCCTTTTTTGTTTTATTTTATTATTTTTTGTATTTAATATACATTTTTATGTACTTTTGCAGTGAAAAGGTAGAGATCTGAGTCCATGAAAGAAAGAGAAAGTGGAGGCTTTGTTAAAATTGGGGATTGTGACACAGAGGGAAATCAGTGAATAATTAGGCTTAATTCAAAAGGCACTCTAAACTGTAAAGCAGAGGCTAGAATTAAGAGGCCTGGCTAATTTCACAACATTCCACATCTGAGAGAAAATTTTCACACATGCCAAAAGAACAACATTTCAAAAAAGTTTCTGTGAGCTGTTTTGTTGTCACCTCATCCAGGCTGGCTACATTATTATTTAATGAAGTAAAACACTTCTAAATATAATTGTTGCTTATAGAGTTATTAAATTTAAAATGAATAGACAATCAGTACATTGTTTTATTATCCTTGGCAATTGATTATGATGCAAATGACCATTTTACTAGCTGTCTTTTTTCTTTTGGGCTAAATTCATGACTTTTGTCTTCTCTTTTATTTATATTTGTGTTTTAGATTGTCTTTAGTGATAAATCAACATTTTAAGTCCTTGATAACTAGTGGCAGAATGTTCGACGTTGCTCTGATTAGAAACACTTCCAAATTCCTGGTAAAAACTGTGAAGCATCCAACATCAGTAATGGCGTGGTCTTTAATCTCAGTTCATGGTGTTAAAAGGCTGTATGTAGTGGAGGGTACAATAAAACAGCAACGTGTACTTTATGTTAAACTTACTTGTGTTCTGAATTCTAATCTGTACGTTATTTTTTTATTTTCAGGTGTTACTGTTATTAAATTAATATTGAACTTATGTTAAACTAAAATTGAATTATTGAACTTTTCAAGTAATAAACTGTCAACTAAACTATAAAATAGCAGTTCCAGTTCTGGCAAATCCAGTTTGAGATTCACTTCTAAGCACTAGGTTATTGGAAAGCCAATTTTTAAGTTATCTACAGAAAGATTACCATGTATGCTGGATGTACTTTAACTGCTCCAGTTTCATTATTTAATTAAAAAAGAGAACTCTTCCTGAAAGTCTTGTGATGCATTAATTTGTACTTGGATGAAATCCAGGATACCAAATAGCTAGTTGATGTGTCAGAAAACTGTCAACAGAACTATCTGGCTTTAAAGGTACACAGAACACGGCAATGCAAAAGTGACAGGATGAAAGAAGACAAGTTTAAAAGTGATCTTGAAGAATTGTTTGGTATTGCGACATTGGATGTGATGACAGAAATATAGAACAAATAAGATTAGTATTTTTAATTTTTTTTCTTGCCTCATGAGTAGAGCAGATGTAAACACAGCAGCAAAAAAAAAAAAGCAAGAAAAAACGATGAGAGGAACAAGAGAGAAAGAGAAAAAAAAGAGAAAAAAAAAAAGTGATATAAAGAACGCTCGACCAAATGGCATAAACGAAACAGAAGGTGAACTTTCTTTGTTGACATCTAATTCAGAATCACAAGAAGATGAGGAGTATCAGCCAACTCAGCCATGTATGCCAACAGTGTCAACATCAACAATAAACAGATTCAACAGCTTCTGCTTCATCACTAAAAAAGAAGTTTAAGAAAATCTTCCAGTTACCTGAAGTTGTAGGTGCTTTATATTGTGTTTACCTCCCAAACCCTAAAACTGTGTTTGTTGTCAGAGCGTTGTTGAAAGCACAGGTGCTTGGCTATGACATTTCAGATGTATCCTTATCTTAAAATTCAATTAGGTGATCCAGAATAAAAAAAAGACAACAGGCTGCTGCAGTGGATGAAAAAGGATTTTTTTTGGCAGGACCACTATTGCTTCATTGAGACTGCAAAATATTGCCTGACATTAATGGATCAAAGGAAAATGTGGATTTACCAGTAACAATAACATAGCTGTTATTGTTACTGGGAATGGCTAGGAAATTTTGTAAGCTAATCGACCTCTGTCTTTGTTTACATTTACATTCACATTCAACTAGGAACATCAATAATGGAAAACTAAATGTACCTCTATATAAAACTTTTAGGTATGTAGTATTCAATTACACATCAGTGCATCAGCGAATGGAATCGAAGTCTTGTGTGATGAGTTTGAAAATGAGTTTGAAAATTTAATATTTCCAAATAAATTAATTTTAATTTCTTTATTTAAAACAAAATAAATTTAAACATACTCTAGAAAAATTTTATTTTATTATTATTAGAACTATTATAAATACTATTATTTTTGCTGTTACTTTTGCACTACTTATGAATAAAGTTATTATTGTTATTATTTTTTTCAAATTAATATTATTAATATAATTATTTGGTCACTCTTTTGATCAGGATTCTGCATGAGTTACTCCTCCCTCAATCTATTATTTATATTTATTCTTAATAATTGTATTTTGATTCTATTATTTATAATATTATAGATATTCTTATTATTTTTATTATTATTGTTATTGTTCTTGTTATTATTATTATTATTATTATTATTATTATTATTATTATTATTGCTATTATTATTATTATTATTATTATTATTATTATTATTATTATTATTATTATTATTATTATTACTATTGTTATTATTAATATATTACTGTAATTATATGATTGTAAATTTTGAGGAAAATAAATATCTTTTTGTCGTTATTGTTGTTCTGATCCTAGTCAGTGCTCATTTTTTCATAGTTTTAGAGAGATCAAACCATGATCAAAAGCACCCTTTTCACCCTATCAACCCAAGGTGCTTTTGATCATGGTTTGATCTCTCTAAAACTATTCTCTTTATATATCTCATTCTTCATCATCAGAATCCCCCTACCATTGTACCTCTTACAACTACCACATAGCTGGCTATGACTCTTTTTGTGATTTTCTTTGTGATGGCCCTTGGATGGAAATCTTTTGTCTTCCTGCTAACAAATGTGCTTCTTACATAACTTTGTGGATTCAGGCTGGCATGGAATTTTTTATTTCCTCTTGGTGATTCTAGGTCAAGCCTCACTCTTCTCCATGGTTTTCCTAACATTGTGCTGCTGCAATTTCTAATCAAAACCATTACTTCAATATCTTTTAGCAAAACAATTCTCCAGAAAGCAGACGTCTTTTTACTATTGCTAGAAACCATTGTAAAAAGGTTTTGTCTTATGCCAAAGCTTGCTATTCTCAGGTCATATGTATATATATATATATATATATATATATATATATATATATATATATATATATATATATATATATATATATATATATATATATATATATATATATATATATATATATATATATATATATAATTAGGTTCTGCACTTGAAGAAATAAAGAGAGTACTTGAATTTCCAGGGAGTCTTTATCACATTGATGCTAGTTCAGATGGACAAGTTGAATGCATAACTTGGACAACAACTGGATGGCACTTATAAGGTAACTTATTTTCTTTTTTTTAATTGGTTTTTTCTCTCTTTTATTTTGCAAAATATAATGCATTGCTTTTTTATTAGGAACTGAATTTTTTTTTATATATATAATACTTATAATGTATAGGTAAATAATCTCTCAATGCTTCTATACACACTTGCTGTAGTAGATCAACACAGAATGGGGCGACCTGTAGTACAGTCAATAGTGTATCGTGAAGATCAAGCTCATCTCAAAATGTTTCTGATACGATCACAAGAATGGGCTGGTTTTAATACATTTTTAACTTCCATTTTTGTTATTGATAAGGCTCAAGCTGAAATCTCAGTGTTGCAGGCTATTTTCCCAGATAACCGTATTTTGCTTTGTCGATTTCATGTATCCAAGGCATTTGTACATAAAATAAAAAAAAGTAATTAAATAAGTAATGACAAAGAATCTTTATATAAGGTTAGTTCTAAATAATTCTAGCTAATTGTATTAAAAAAGTAGTCATCAAAAAATTAATAAAAATTAAAATAATGCTTTGAAAGTTGTCAACTTTTTTGACAATAGATGTTCCATGACAATAGTCGTGGAACATCTATGATTATTATGTGCCTTCTATTAATACAAGTAATGGTATTTGTAATATCATACATTTTTTTATTATTATTTACTTATCTTAACTGTCAGGCTACAAGGTTATTATATGCTAACCAGCAAACATGTAATGAAGCTTTGTTAAATATACAAGAGACCTTTCCAGAGTTTTATACATACTTAACAAATAACTGGTTGATGATGGCTAACATGTTCATGGGCTACCGCAGAAAAGGTCTACTCCACATTGATAATCACACCAATAACAGATTGAAACGGTTTGATGATTTGTTTTCTATTTTGTTATAAGATTAATTGTTATTTAATAATACTTTAATAAATTTATAGGTATCACAGAACTTTAAAAGATGTTGGTTTGACATCGCGTATGTCACCAGGTAATCTTATTAGCAAAATAATAAAGGTAAATAGAGTTCAACTTGAAAAATCAAAACATGCTGATTTTGATCAACGTCTTAAAATAAACACTAAACTTCCTGAATGTTTAAAATTTTATGCTCATACAATCTCATCATTCATTTTACAACATATGGTTGAACAGTATAATTTAAGTCAAAAGGAAGGATATAGTTTACAAGAGGTTTTAATATTTTTTTAAGAATTTTAATCTGTTTTTAAGAATGCTCTGATTTATTTAGCAATTCTAGTCATAATAACTTTTCATAATAGATGCAACTTGTAATAAAAGTTTAAGTATGATTTTTTTAAACTTATATTAATGAAGATAATTATAAGTAAGATTTATTTAATGTGTTATAAAATATGAAATTAAAATATCTTTAGGAAAATAATTGCTTGCAAGTTAGATACAATGATTGTTTGTTTCCCCTTCATAACTGGACTTGCCAATGTGATAATGCTACTGGTTATGGAGTTCCATGCTCTCATGCTTTCTTTGCTATTAGAAAAAAAAAAAAAGCTTATTTGATCTAGATCTTATTCATAAAAGGCACTAATTATTTTTGATTTGTATTAATAGTAGTAGTATGTTGGAAAATATTTAAAATGAATAAAATATTTTTAGGTGGTTTGTTCCTACCCATCAAATGGTAAATGTAAACCAAGGGGACAATTTATCTAATTCATGCATGACATTTTCAATTCAACCAGTGGCATTATGCAATTCCACTGTTAAGGAAAGATATAATACAGCTTTGAGCCATTTGCAGCCTTTGGCATCTATCTTGTCTGAATTTACACCAAGTAAGTTTGATTTAGCTATTAAATGGCTGGAATCAGTTTGCCAACAATGCATATCTGGAGAGTGGGAACTGCAGGTAAAAATAATAAAATCCATAATTAAATTAATAAATAATAATTCATTTTATTTGACAAGTTAAACTAAAGTTATACTTGCACAAGGCTGGGGCCAATATAGTCAAGGAAGCATTTTTTAATTTAATTTTTATTGTATCTCTCTCAACTCTGAAATACAATCTCCAATGCCGTTAAATGAAGGCGCAAGTTAAACAACATATTTCTAGGTGGCGTTGAACTGTAAACCACTTAATAATGAAGCAAGAATCTATTATACTACGTCATTAAATCTCCTGATAAATCATTTACATTTATTTTCTTTATGTGCAATCTATCATGAGTTGTAATCATAATGCTATTTAAATTTTGTACAGGTTCAACAGCACCATTCTGAAGATGATGTCATTTCAGAAAATAATTTTGAGATTAATGTTGAAATATTTCCTGAATGTTCTTCTGCAACATTAGAATGTGTTTTGCCTGTATCACCTCAAGTTTCTCTACAAACAAACTCTGTAGCTACATCAAACATTTCCCCAACAATCACATGTGAGACTCTTCATGTTGAAAGATTGCAGACAAATGTTGAAATATTTCCTGAAAGTTCTTTATCTGCAACATTGGAATGTGTTTTGCCTGTCTCACCTCAAATTTCTATACAAACAAACTTAGAAACTACATCAAAAAATTTTCCAACAATCACTTGTGAGACTCTTCCTGTTGAAAAAAGGTGTACTACTCGAATTTTAGAAGACATTGACATTATATTACGTAAGCCACAGCGCTTTCCCCCTGGTCGACCAGCTGTAAAAAAACAGAGACTTTTTTACAACGTTACAAAACCCCTTGAGAAACTTGGCGTTTATGAAAAAGATTTTATTCGTTTAACTTGGTTCGTCAAAGATTCCATTGCACAGAATTCATTACAAAGTGGTAGTAAAATCTCAATTAATGATCTTTCTTCTACTGTACCTTATATCATTAATGATAAAAGAGCTAACTTACATGAACTTGAACAATATTTTGATGAGTCTGCTTGGGCAGAGATTGTAGTAAGATGTAAGAGCACTTCATCCGATAGTTGGCCATGTTATCATTGTCAACAAATTCAATCAGCCAGTAAACTTCAAAAGTGGATTCAGTGCGATCACTGTTTATATTGGTATCATTACTATTGTGTTGGTATTTCAAGAAAACCTAAAGGTCACTGATTTTGTATGGATTGCAAAACCTAATTGAAAAGATTATAATACTATATATTCATATATGTATATATATACATGTGTGTTTATATATGTAACAATAGTTTAACATAAAAGCGTGTATATAACATAACTCTAAGTAGATACTAATTACAATTTGTTTTTTATTTAATACTTATTAAAATTTCACTTTAACATTTTTTAGACTTTTTAGCGTTAATTGATGTATCCTGTTAATATCGGCACACCAAAAGAACAACGGTTAAACAGAATTTATGTGTTTTTTTTAATACAATTCATTTATGCTAGGCAATAACTTTATTAACATTTTATGTACCTGTTAGTCATAAGTTACTCTCTGCAGTAGTGCTGGAAGGTATGATAACATAACTGCAAGATAAACAGCTTTAAATCTTTCATTCATTATATGAAAGACTGTATAAAGCTGTCTTGACTATTAGCTAAGCTCTGTGACATAAGCGCAACTTAGAGGTTCCTTCTAGAAATGTTTTATTTCTATTTTATTATTGGAATGGTTATAATGTATTTAGTATACATTATAAACGCTTATTATTTTAATTATTTCAATATGAGATTGTCAATCATTGCTGTTAGGATATTGAAAATGCTCCAAAATTAATAAAAAATAAACTTAATATTAACTCATCGTTCGACTTTAAGTTAGAGCTTTTCCAAGCAAGCCTTTATAAGTACCTATTAACAAAACTCTTCCTTTTATTAAGGAAGTTTTTTTTCTTCTCCATGTTAAAAAGCCAGGGATTGTCGACCGTGTTTTATATAGAGATACTTAAATACACATTTATGTTCATTTGCTCTACCTAAGTAGTTAAACTTTCTCCCAATTTTATGGGGATCCTTCTCTGCATACACATTTTTGCACCACAAATGTGCATTTAAAGAATTTAGTACATTTAAACCTAACAATATTACTACCACGTTCTTTACAATATATTTATTTCTCCGTGAACACATTTGCAATATTTGCTTACCTCTTAAATTGTCGCGATTGCTATATACCATCTACCCTTAGAGATGACTAAAAAATGTCCTGAATAAATTAAAAAGCATGAATGAAACTGCTCCAAAATTAATAAAAATAAACTTAATATTACCTCATCAATTGCGATTTACATTGTAACAAGAGATATTTATTTTTAATCTATATTCGACATTTGGCATTATTTTGTAAACACAGCCAAAATGCTTTTAAAAAATTCGTAACTTTTCAAAAAAAACAGCCAAAATCATATGAAATTTGCTGCAAACTGCCAATACTTATTGTATTAAGTTTTGTTACTTTCCGCATAAAATATCAAAAATTCGTCATGTATATGATACGCCAAAATCACTTCTTAACTTCTGTGAATTTTCACGTAAAATAGCGAAAACACCTCCATATTGAGTTCCGTGAATTTTCACGGAAAATAGCCAAAATCGTCTCCTAATTTCCGTGAATTTTCACGGAAAATAGCGAAAACTCCATATATTAAGTTCCGTGAATTTTCACGGAAAATAACATTAAGCGTTTTAATATGTTAGTAGATGGGGTTTAACAATCAAACACAGAAAAAATTAAACAAAAGAGACATATCTAAAATGTAAAATAACAGCTTCTAACAACTTCAATGCCACATATAATATATATTATTAAAGGTATCAATAATATCATAGTCATAATATACATAGTCCGGCCAGTTTAAGAGCGCTATTGTTTATCTTATTGTTAGCTTTTTTTTAGAACCCAATCTACCAATGAGTGCACACTTTTTGTAAACAAATGCGCGTTAAGAAGAATATTTTCAAGAAGATTATTGATTTAACCTTGATTTTTGCAAATGCCTCGTCTTAATTGTTACATATTTGGTTCTGGAACTTCTCGAAGAAGTATAAATCTTTTTCTATTTTAAATATTTTCTTCCGATGATGATGTTTATAACAAAGAATCAAGAAGAAAAGTTTTACAAGTTATAAATAAAAATATATCTTTAGTTATAATATATTCTAACTAATGATAAAATATGATATCAAATAACTTTTTTGTTGGATCGACAGGTTTACTACCTTCAATAAATCAACCAGTTAAGAGCTTTTCATTGGCTAATCCTTCTTTAGGCAGAATATAGTAGTTTCTCATATTACTAAAGCTCAACTCAAAGAAATCAACTTTTTCTTCTGAAGAAGACAAAAGTCAATATTTAAATATTTACATTAAAAAAGATCAATGCTTAATACTGTTGTGTCTAACCTTATTTCATTATAAAAAAATATCAAAGCTATTTTGTGGCTATTTTACTAGCAACAAACCTTATAAAAACTATATTTGGTGTATAATAAAATATAAAAATCTTCAATGCAAGAATATCACAAGATTAAATGGTTTATGCAAAGCACAAATATGTGTGTGTGTGTGTGTGTGTTTGTGTGTGTGTGTGTGTGTATATATATATATATATATATATATATATATATATATATATATATATATATATATATATAATATATATATATATATATATATACATACATATATATATATATACATTTCCCATTATTATTTGTGAATAGAAACAAAATTCATGAACTTATTTTTAGAACACATATGCGCGCACACACACACACACACACACACACACACACACATATATATATATATATATGTATTTATTGTTGCAGTTATATCATGCACATAATTGTAGTAATTGGGGTATCAAAAAGTGCATTGTCAACCTTTAAAAAAATCCATAGAGGCTATAAAATGACCTGTTGGTTGAAGTTATGTGAAGGAAAAGTGATGCAAAGAAGTCTTGATAATATTTCAAAATTTTATAAATAAAATCCCGAAAAAATTATTAAACTACTTAAGTAATTAAACAAATTGCTTTATTCATTACATTATACGATAATATTATTTAAAGTAAAAAATTACATAATTAATAAAGTGAAAAATTACATAATTAATAAAGTAAAAAATTACATAATTAATAAAGTGAAAATCAATTAAAACTTTAATTAATTTTCACTTTATTATTGCATCTTTCAATCATACTAAAATACAGTTCAAATGCTAGAATGTTTTTAACAAATGTTTTGGTTATCAAAATAACCTTTATTAAATTTTTAATATTTATTTATTTTTATTTAAAAACCCTTTCTAGGTTTTGTTTTTTTTAATTCTTTTTGACTAACGTATTCTTCGATAAATAGTACTAAATACGTAACAATAAAAGCATTGAACTAAATTTTTTTATTTTTTTCTTTTTAAATATGATTAGCAAGTTTATATCCTACTAGAGGTGAGGATCTGTTAGAAAAATCTATTTTGATCTGCAACTATAAATTTTGGATAAAAAACTTAAACTTCACTTTAAATAATTTTAATAACTTCATTTTGTTAACTTAAATAATAGCTTCGTATCATCTTTTAAAAATATGTACTTTAAAAGCTCATCTCTGATATATGGAAGGCAGCAAAGATCGTTTTTAACAATAAGAATGTTTTTTAAAACAAAATTGATGAATTTCTTTGCAGAACACGTTGCAGCAAAGATTGTTTGTAACAATAAGAATGTTTTTTTAAACAAAATTCATGAACTTATTTGTAGAACACGTTTGCTTAATATCAGTTTGTGTTTTAATTTGCTGAGTTAAAGAGAAACTATTTGAATGCTGCTTTCGTATGTAGCGTTTGAATTTATGCTTCGACTTTATCATACACTGGGGAAAATGAATTTGGTTTAAGCGTTTTTCTCCCAATTTTAACGAAAAAAGAACTGAAATTATTGATAAACTTGAGTTTACAAAAAAATATATCTGATTCTAGATCTAATATGAAATAATCGAAGCACTGTTTATCTGTTGAGTTCGCCATTTTTTAGATTTTTGTGCACTCATTGGTAGTCTGGGCACGATAAATAAACGATTTTCAACATAAATTCAAAGTTTTAACTTTTATTGTTTAAAAACAATAGAATATTGCGAAAACGGCCCAACTGGCCAGACTATCTTATATTATGACTATGATAATATATATGGTATATATTATTAACACCTTTAATAATGTATCTTATAATAGCTATATAATCTAAACTATTATAAATAAATAATGAAAAAATTTTTTTTTTTATGAAATTATTACTGTATGACATTTCAAATGTTTGATTTATTCAATAAAGAAGACATTTAAAATATCTTCTTTATTAAATAAATTGAACATTTAAAATGTTTAATTTGTTTAATAAAGATTATTAAATAAATCAAACATTTGAAATGCCAATACAGCAATAAGTATAAAAAAAACATTTATGATCTTACACAAAAATAATTTGATTATTGCCTTATTATTACATTAATAATTTAGATGGTAGTAAAAAATGTTTTAAGCATATTATTTAAATGTCAACAAATATTTCATTATTTAAAAAAACAAAACATTTTACGAGAATCTCTTGAAGTTTATTTCCTATAAGGAACCTTTTAAGATTCTTAGAAGATTAATAAATATAGCTTTATTTATTTTATTTTTATAATTTAAAAAAATGGAAAGATAATTTCAAAACCTTTTTTTATTCTGTCAAACGATACCATTTTTTAAAATGTTTTTCAACAAATTTAAAAATATACTAATCCGCAACAACATTGGCTGAATATTGGCTACGGCATAAATGTAAGAATAGATTTTTATTGCAAAATATTAAGCTTTAACTACATTGGCCAAATGTTGGCCCAACGTAGTACGATAATTGCAAAAAACCGATTTGTAGAATTGCAATATTACGCCGAAATAAAAACATTGGCTAAATGTTGGCCCAATATAGTACAATATTTGCAAAAAATCGTATTGCAGAATTGAAAATAGTACGCCGAAAAAAAACATTGGCTAAATGTTGGCCCAACGGAATAAACTTGCCAATGTTAAAACTTACGTTGGGCCAATGTAAGCTTGCTGTCTGGGTATTTTATCTGGTGTAAAAGTAATTGAATTCATAGAATAATTATTTTATCTGGTGTAAAAGTAATTGAATTCATAAAATAATTATTTTATCTGCTGTAAAAGTAATTGAACTCATAAAATATGTAGAATCTTTTAACTCTTTTTGCAACCATCCATTGATATCAGTAACTTCATAGGTCCCTTGTTTTATACCGAAAAGACTTCTAATGGAATTTTCAATTGTAAAATCAACTGCACAATTTGTTGCAATATACATTACCACTTTAAATGTTATTTTATCTGATGTAAAAGGATAATTATTTTAATATGGTGTAATAGGATAATTATCTTATCTGCTGTAAAGTAATTGAATTCATAAAATAATTATTTTATCTGGTGTAAAAGTAATTGAATTCATAGGATAATTATTTTATCTGGTTTAAAAAGTAATTGAATTCATAGGATAATTATTTTATCTGGTTTAACAAGTAATTGAATTCATAGGATAATTATTTTATCTGCTGTAAAAGTAATCGAATTCATAGAATATGTAGAATCTTTTAACTCTTTTTGCAACCATCCATTGATATCAGTAACTTCATAGGTCCCTTGTTTTATAGTACGAATACATTCTTTGTGTGTGTTTTTTTTTTCATTATCATAAACAATATAAGTAAAATTATTGTTAATTAAAGTAATATTTTTAACTAAATTATATGTTTCTAAGTTTATTAATGCCATTTCTTAATCTTTTTTTTCATCAAGCGGAATAGCTGGTATAAACCTTCTATTCATTATCGAAGTATTTCCTCCAATACATATATCCATTTATACATATACAAGAAATTTTTTATATCATTTTACTTCTCTTACATGAAATTGTATTAATAATCTTTTTTTACCCATATCTACATCACAACGATCGTCATCCGCTATTTTAACTGTCATTTCTGAAAGTGTGTTGGTTTTTAATGGTAAATAACTTAAAAATTGCGGTTGTTTAATAATACTCATACCTGAAGGACGAGTAATGGGTAGAAATGTATGCATTACAGTAGTTTTCTTACCATTTATATTTTTTCCATCTACAATATTATTTAATATATGCACACATCTCGACTTAGTATTAATATTGTAATGAAGCGTTTCTAATCTTATAAATGCCATTTTATATTTTTTTGTTTTATCAAGTTCAATAATTGGATCAAATTGACTTGTAGTTATATTTGATTTATTTTACTTCAATATCCATTCTTTATATTTATAATAATTCTTATTTAAATAATTATAAATCTATATCTAATATTTTTATAACTTCTTTAATTTCTTTTTCATAGGCTGCTGCATTATCTAATTTTACTTGTATAGATTGAATTGTTGAACCAATATAAACACTTTCAATTCTTAAATATCCAACAATATAACATCTTTTTTTAATAAGATCATGCCCTGAAATTTCATCATCATCTGAATACAGGTTGGTATCTGATTTACAGATCTGAATATAGGTTGGTATTTTTGCAAAAATAACTGGAGGTTTATTATCATTACATTTTAGAATTTTTAAGTTGTCAGTATTAAAATTTTTCACTTTATTTTTAAGTGTTTTTCTTTAACTTTATTTCTACAAAATTTTTCAATAGATTGAATCATTGCAATAAATTTTTCTTTTTCTTCAGTCTTTCCTTTCATTTCATTAAAGTAAACAAGTGGAATTGAATATCCAGTAAGTTTATTCGTTTTTGGATCTCTATTTTCACAAACTCCATATGAAAATAATTTAGGTGTTTTTACTGATAAAACTGTTTAGCTTTTATAACCAATTTTCATTTTTTGATAAGGAATAGGCCATGGCCTACTTTATTTATACGGCCCGATATTTTACATTTTGAAGAAAAAAATAGAAGGCCAGTTTTCTGGAAAAGTGTTTTTAAGAAAGCAGCTTTGGAAGTTCAAAAAGATGGTTAACAAATGCGTCGTAAATTGTCGTTCAAATTATCATAATTATGGTGAAGTATCTATAGTAGTATTTTCGTTTCCAAAAAATGAAGAGTTAAAAAAATATTGGATTAAATTTGTAAATAGAAAAGATTGGACACCTACTAATTCTTCCGTTATATGCATCAAACATTTTGAAAAAAAATATTATAAGAAAGGTAATAAGAATCAACGTTTTAGATTAATAAAAAATTTAAAGCCTATTCCAACTATTTTTGACTGCACAAATTTGACTGAAGAAGGTTCATTACAACTTATAAAATCTTCTAATTCATTAAGAAAATCACCAACTAAAAGAATATTTCAGCCAGATCAATATGAACAGTTTTTATTGAATGATTTGATTAATAGCTTTAACGATATTACTGAAAGTTTTGCTCCAGATGGTTTTTCATTCTTGAAGTATGACGATCATGTAATTTTTTATAAATTGAGTCATAGTACTTCATCTATTCCAGAGGTTACAGAGTGCATTCGTGTAAACAATGAGATGCATGTTAAATTATTTTACAGAGGTTCACCTCTGCCATTACCTCAGTGGTTTTGTCAAGGAAGAGATTGTCGTTTATCTTGTAAAAGTATGCTTCATAATTTTCCTACCTACATTAAATCACAAGCCAAACAATTTTCATCTGTATTGACTGAATTACAGCAAATTAAATATATGAAAAAACCTATTTATTCAGCCAATATTATAAGGTATTCACTGATATTATGATATACTTCTATGCAGTCATACCAACTTTTGCGTGAAGAATTGCCTTTACCATCATTATCTTTACTTAAAAAAATAACTAGTGGAAATATTGATGCTCTAAGTTGTGCAAAACGTTTAAAATTAGAAGGTAAGATATCTCAAGACATTTGCTTGATTTTTGATGAAATGTACTTGCAAAAATGTGAGGAGTATTTTGCTGGAGAGATGATTGGTAGTGATGAGTCTGGAGAAATGTATAAGGGAATAGTTTGTTTTATGACAGTTGGCCTGAAACAAAACATTCCATATGTGATCAAAACGTCTCCTGAAAAAACAATCAATGCTGAATGGTTGAAAGAAGAAATTTTTGAATGTCTTCGTATTTTAACTGAATGTGAATTTAATGTTAGAGTTATTGTGTGTGACAACCATTCTGCTAATGTTTCTTGTTTTAAAAAAATCTATTGTGCATCATTTTATTTACAATCTAAAAAAAATTTACCTCTGTTTTGATGTTGTACATCTTATTAAAAACATCAGAAATAATTTGTTAAATTGCATAAGATTTTTATTTCCAGATTTTAACTTTAATGGATTTTAAGATCCTATAATTGTATGTGGGGGAGAAATTAAATGGAGTACCTTCCACAATATTTATGAAAAAGACCTCACTCTTGATGCTGGTTTGCGTAAAGCACCAAAAATAACAATGAAAGTGTTACATCCTGGCAATTTTAAACAAAATGTTTCTTTAGCACTTGCAATTTTTGATGAAACTACATCAGCAGCGATTCACTCATATTTTCCAGATCTTAAAAGTAGTGCAGATTTTCTTACATTATTTAACAAGTGGTGGGTTTTATCAAATTCTAAATGTCAGTATTCAGCATGTAATATTTTAGGTAATGCAGTCGTTTCTGGTGATAAAAAACCTGAATTTCTTCGGGAAATGGCACATTGGATTGAAGTTTGGCAATCACAAAAGATACCAAACTGTGAGAAGTTTACTTTAAGTGTTCAGACAGCTGCAGCACTAATAAGAACACTTAATAGTCATGCCTCATTGATCGAGGACTTGCTTAATGATGGATATCACTTTGTTTTAACTGCGAGATTTCAAAGTGACCCATTAGAAAGGAGATTTGTACAATATAGACAAATGAGCGGTGGAAGATTTTTGGTAGGTTTAAAAGATGTCACTATTTCTGAAAAAATATTAAAAATCAAAAGTATAGTTAAAGAAAGTATTAACTTCGATGATAGTTTAAAAGTGCCTGAGTCAGAAAATAGTTTAACAGATTGGAAAAACTTTCTTCTTGATATTGATGAAGCTCAGTGTACTCCAGAAATCATGACACTTGCACCAGAAAGTAGGGAAGTAGGTGCTCATATTGCTGGTTATATAGCAAAGAAACTTAAAAAACGTTTTGGTACATGTTGTAAAGAATTTTTATGTTGTGTCAATATTGATGAAAGCAATCCTGATCATACTTATTTAACAATTATTTCTAAGGGTGGTCTCACTATTCCTTCACTATCACTTTTGGATTATGTTTGCACATCCTTCGCTATGATTGACTACTTTTATAAAAAAATAAAGAAATTTAGTTTACATGCACGACAAGCTTTAGAATATTTGTTAAACCACTTTTATGACTCTTTTCAGACTTTTTCTTGTCCCATGCATGAAAAAACTGGGATAAAACTTGCTGGAAGAATTGTTGTTAACATTTTTCTTAATAATAAAAGAATTATCTCTACCAGTGAAGTAGCTGTTGATCATGTAAAATCTTTTAAAAAGATAAAATTTGAGAAAATTTAATAAATTATATATAATTATTTTATTTTTAAATGAAAAAAGAGAAACATTTAAATATTTTTTATAACTGTTCTTGTTTCTTACATCGTTTTTACTAATACTAAATTTTAAAGTAAACACTATTTATTTCTTAATAAATGTTCGTTTAATATCTAAAATTATGAATAAATAAAACTTTTGTGGACTTTTTAAATGTAGAAAGTAAAATAATATTGAAAATGTTCAAAACGTATTAAATTTTTGAAACATTACGATTTTAAAAACTGGCCTTCTATTTTTTTCTTCAAAATGTAAAATATCCGGCCGTATAAATAAAGTAGGCTTATAATAATTAAATACTTCATCAGCGCACAATTTTGTCTCATCAAAATTTTCAATCTTCACATATGTCATTTTTATATATGCAAGAAAACTATTTATATCATTTTATACAAAATAAACGGTATAAGTAAAAATAATTCTTTATATAAAATGAATAAAATGTATCTTAATGTTAAAAATAGTGAAAATATTAAAAATAGTGAAAAAATAGATTTATTATATAATCAGAATTTAGATCACACTCCAGCTCATGTTAATAGTAAAAAATATAGACTATTTGCACAGCAAGATTTTACAATAAAGCCGAATTCATATCATTATGTTTCTTTAAAATGTGGATTAAAAATAACAGAAGGGTGTGTATTCATTGCACTAGAAGAAAAATATAAGCCCTATTTATATTTAACAATTGTTAAATATAAATAAGGCTTATGATTCAGCTACTATATTATTTAAATAATATAGTAGCTGAATCAGTTAATGATATTTTAGTAACTATATATAATAGTGGAAAGTCAGATGAAAATATTAAAAAAGGGTTTTGTTTATGTCAAATCGTATCTAATAAAAATATGAGTACAATAATTACACATAATATAACTATCACACTTGCAGCTAAAGCAGTTACATTCACTGTAACTAGCACACTTGCAGCAGTTACATTCACTGTAACTAGCACACTTGCAGCAGTTACATTCACTGTTAGTAGTTCTAAAGTAAAAAATAGAACCGCATCTAAAGTCGATACATTAAAATAAATTAAATGAGAGCTATTTAAACTGATTTAAAATAAAATAATTCTTTATAAAATGGAGTTTAATTATAATGAGTGCAAAAATAAAGAGTGGGAAAATATTTATACAAATCTTAGCCAGTTTGGAGTTGATCTAACTGCACCACCTATATCTATAGATCAGCAGTATCGATTAGATAAGATAAGTGAAATTCAAGGTAAGATAAAATATGAAAGAAGTAGAAGGTCTATGTTGACTAAAAAGTATCATAGAGCTGTAAGAGTCATTTCAGTCGTTGATAATACATTATTAGTGACTACTATGACATTAAGAGCTGTTGGAGTTGGTATTTTAGCAACTATTGTAGCAGCTCCGGTGGCTATTGCATGTGAAGAAGCTGCATTAGGAATGGGTTTAATGTCATTAATAGGATCTCAAGAAATTAAAAAATTAAATTTAAAATAAAAAAAGCATGAAAATATTAAAATGTTAGTTGATGCAAAACTAAATTCAATAAGTGATCATATTTCTAAAGCTTTAATAGATGATCGTATGATCATCATACTTCAAGAATGAAAAACCACCTGGAGCAAAACTTTCAGTAACATCGTTAAAGCTATTAATCAAATCGTTCAATAAAAACTGTTCATATTGATCTGGCTGAAATATTCTTTTAGTTGGTGATTTTCTTAATGAATTAGAAGGTTTTATAAGTCTGTATCATCATACAGAGTTTAAAATGATTATGAAAGAGTTCGAAAAATTTCAAATCATGCTAGAACCGATTAGAACAAAATCGTAAAACGATATAGATGAAAAGACTAAAAAGTCATTAATAGATATGGGTAAAGAGAAAGCTATGAAAGAAGCTATGGAATTGTTAGAAAGGAGATTTAACAAAGTATCGATTGGCGACCCTAGATATATCAAAAATCAAAGTATTGCTGCAGTGAATAATTTAAAATAGATCACGTTGATAAATAATCATGATCACGTTGACAAATAATCATAAAATACGTTAAAAAAAAATGCTATATATATAAAAATGTCGTTTTTAATTATTGGAGATCCGAAGAAAAAAAATGAAAAAATTTTTCAAGTTCTTTTCAAGAACTTGAAAAATTAAAAAGAAGTAAAAATTCAGTAAATGAAAAGCTTGGATATGATGACTTACAGTATGACTTGGGTAATTTGTACAAACCTATTATTGATAGTCAATCTGGAATAAAAGAAAACTTGATCATTTAGCTCTCACTCTATCAAATTATTCTGCAATAATGGGTATACCTGAAACTAAAGAAATAACGAGTAAAGATATTAAATCTGATATGAAACCTGATAGTAAAATAATTTCATTAGGAACTATAGCAACAAATTATCTGCAGTCAGCATATAGTAATAAAAAGGCAGCAGATACTACATTCGGTATACAATCAAAAGATAGAAAATTGTATATAGGAAGAAAACCAATATTAATTAATAATAATAATATAACTATTGATGATAAAAAATATATTGGAACAACTGGTCTTTGGGAATTGTTTACAAAAGCTAGTCCTGATAAAAATATATATAATGAAGATGATCTTTAAAATTATAAAAATATATTGAAAGAAACAGATGCTATTTATTCTAGTAAATATCCAGGAAAACCTAGATCATCTAGAAGTGAAAAATATAAAGAGATAATAAAACCCATTTGGGAAGAGATAACTGGAAAATCTGGAAAAAGAGTCATCTTTCTTCCTAGAGATCCAGACGCGCTAATTGATATGCTTAAATTACGTGTAGCTTCATTTAAAGCAGGTAATACTGGAGTTAGAAATAAAGTTATTGCTATTTGTGATGAATTATTACAAGGCGTACTAAATGTGGAAGAGCATAAATCAATACAGAACATTTTTAAAAATAAATAACTATGATTTAAAAAAATAGTCAGTAAATAAAAATGCTCATTATAGAGAATAAAAGAGTTATTAAAAAGCATGTTGTTGGAGGTAGAGAAATATTTATTTCTGCTAGAAATATATTTCAAAAGCAATCTGTAGATAAAGCACTTAATTTATTACGCAATTTAGCAAATAAAGCTATTCGTAGTGATTTAGGAAAAACTGCAATAGATGCTGCAAAAGTAGCTGGAAAAGAACTTACTATAAATGCCATCTCTACTATTAAAGATGTTGTAGTAGATAAAGGAAAAAAGTTGATTTCAAAAGCAAAGATTTCAAATGAAAGTGAACAAAAGCTTCAAAATTTAATAGAATCTGAAGCTAATGATCTAGCTAAAAATCTAACTAACGAAGTGATAACAAATTTAAATAATCTGATGATGGGATCATCATTAAATCATTCAAAGATTTCACCTACAAGTGCAATTAAATTAGAAGAATTTGTTAAGAAAGGAAGAAAAAATCTAAAAATCATTCAAAGAAGAAATGAACCTTTTTGTTGAATATCTATTCTGTTGAATGATTTTTAGATTTTTTTTTAGTAAACTTTTAGTAAATTTATTAAATACTTTTTCGTATATCTCATTTTATTATATAAAGAAAAAAAAAAAATTACTTTCAATTTAATTTTTTTATATATTTTTACTTGTCTTCTTCTAATTCTTGTAATTCTGACTTTAATTCTTTTGAAGAAAAATTTTTTAATCTTTTTTTTTCTAATTTTAATTCTTCAAACTTTATTTATTCTTTTAATCTTCTCAATTCTTTTATTATTTTTTCTAATCTTCTTAATTTTAATCTTTCTTTTTCAAATACTAATTCTAATATCAATTTTAACAAATAAGAATAGATATTCAACAAAAAGGTTCATTTTTTCATCCATCTGAGGCATATTTACAAGTTGAAGGAAGTTTTTAAAAGAAAAAAAAATTTCTAAAAGACGATGGTACATCCTATACTAATGCAGATGCAGTTACAAACAATGGAATTATGTATTTATTTGATAGAATGTCATACGAACTATTAGATAAATCTATAGAAAAGTTAATAATTTAGGACAAGCAACTACAATGATAGATATGCTCAAATATTCAGACGACTTTCATAAATCAACAGGTTCAACTCAACTATGGTTTAAAGATACAACATCTACTGCAGTAGCTACTGATAATTTGGGATTTGCAGCAAGACAAGTTAAAATTATTCAGAAACCTGCTACAAAAGGCACATTTTCATTTTGTATTACTTTAAAGCATATTTTTGGATTCTGTGACGATTATGATAAATTGATTTACGGAGTAAAGCATTCACTCGTTATTACAAGAAAAGGTGATAATGATGAAATTTTTAGAGCTTCAGGAAAAGTAAATCTTACAAAAGTATCATTGTTTATAAAGCATGTAATTCCATCAGATACGGTGAGAAGTCTTTTAATCATATTTATTCGAAAGTAAGACTCGATGTTGATTTTCGAAGTAGAATATGTGAATATTCTGTTACACCAAATGCTATGGAATTTAATTGTAAATTCAGTGGAAGAAATGAAAGACCTAGATACATCCTTCTTGCATTCCAAACTAATAGAAGTGGAAATCAAGAAGTTAACCCTGCAGTATTCGATAAGTGTGGTTTGAAAGCTAATTCAGTAACGCTTAATGGAGAACGGTACCCTACAAATGATTATAATTTAACATTCACAAATAATTTTCAAGAGCTTATTTTGATTCAGCTACTTTTAATGAGAAGTTTTATGGAACGAATAAACTGTATGCACAAAGCATCTTACATGATGTAGAATTTAGAAAATTATATCCTATTTATGTTGTTGATGTAAGAAAACAAACAGAAAGATTAAAAAGTTCACCAGTATATATTCAAGTTTATACAACAATTAATTCACCTGTTCCAGCAAATACTCTATTATTTTCTGTTATAATATCTGATAAGCAAGGAAAACTTGTGTCTGATGGAAAAAAAAATTATTTTCAATATTAGTATACTCTATATAAAAACT